CTGCCGTGTGTTGCAAAGCCAAAGCTCCTTCTCTGCAGTAGAGCTTAGAATGAAATACGAGTTACTAATTTTTGTTTGTGTTCTCTCTAGTGTCTGCAGTGAGGCTCTGAGTTATTTCCTGACTCTTACATCAGAAAGTCATCGGGAAGCCTGGACTAATCTTTTACTCTTATTTTTGACTAAAGTCCTGAAGATAAGTGATGAACGGGTAAGTAACTGTTTGGAATAGTGTTTCAGAAAACATTTACAGGTAAGAAGTAGTTCTAGGCCAGTTCTTCACACACAGTTACAGACTTGGCTTTAAAAGCTCCTGCTGCTCTGTAGACACTCCTTTGTTGAGGGAATATACATTCAAACTGCATTTGACAGATACTGACAGTAATAATTCAGCGTGAAGGTGCAGTGAGTGATAAAATAAAATGTGTCTGAGAGAAGTTGAAAGATGCTGGAATCCTTTAGAACTGCATGTTAAGTTGCTTTTACCCCTCTCCTGGTGAAGAATAGGATTAGTGATGATATTTTATTCAAAGAATTAACTCCTGTTTCTGCCTCCAGTGCTACATGTACATCACCTTGACCTTCTCCAAAGCAATTCTGCAGTAAATAAATCCATATTTAGATCTCTCTCTGTTTCTAACAAAATTTGGCTGAAATACTTAAGTGAAAGGGACCAACTACAATAAAAAACTGATAATAAAAAATATTTCCTTGTGGGGAATAAGCATTAGTAAGGAGCTGTGTGTAACTAGTGAGCATCTGTCAGAGTACGTCATAGCTGTCATAGCCTTCTTCTAGCACTGCTAACTTGGGTTATAAAGATGTTTCTGCTCGTCACTTTGTGGGTTTCTCACAGTGATTTGGGGAAGTATTTAGAATTCATATCTTGCAATGTGCTTTCCCAGGTGTAGTGATGTATAATAGACTAATTTCTTCTGTTTGTTTTCTCTGCAGTTCAAAGCCCATGCATCGTTCTACTATCCTCTGTTGTGTGAAATCATGCAGTTTGACCTTATTCCTGAGCTTCGAGCCGTTTTACGGAGGTTTTTCCTGCGGATTGGTGTGGTTTTCCAAATATCCCAACCACCAGAACAAGAGGCTGGAATAAGCAAGCAGTAGCAGATAGTGACACTGTTTAAAAGTTTATATTCCTCAGCTAAATAAAAGGACCAGGTAGCTGAGCCATTCTGTCTGGATATCCATAAAAATGATTTCTTTGTATGGCAACATGTATCCAAGGGTTAACGGTACAGACGCTTATAACTGTAATTAAGGCTTGCAACACTCCAGTCCCTTTATTTCCTGATGGATTATCTCTGCCGGTTTCTCTTCCCTGGCTCGTGCTGAGCACAGAGCCAGTTTTTAGCACAGTCCCCTTGTCAGCATGGGCTGCAGTATCCTTTACTGTCCTAGACAACAGTATAGCAACAGATGTTTATGGCGGGTGTGAAAGTAAAATGTACCCAAAGAAACATATATATGTAAAGGTTTGAGCTTCTGCGAGAAGTACAACTCAGGAGAGCTGTATTTTGAAGGATAAAATGTTTATAGTGGAAAGAAAATGGAGATTATTGTTCATGGTAAAAGATATTTAGCAACTATGTCTGATATTCTTATTCTAAGATTTTTGCACACTCAGGCTGTCTGAGACATTGGTAATCATCCTTCTGTGAAAATGTACAGAGATGCAGGTCTGTAATATAAACTCTTTAACACTATACAGTTCTTTCCGAATTGTTTTATTTCTGTAATATTGATTTGCTGAAAGCCCATAACTCTTACTCGTTTACCAAATGCACTAGAAGTTTGGGTTTGGTTTTTGGGTTGTTTTGGTTTTTGGGTTTTTTTGTTTGTTTTTTTTTGGGTTGTGATTTTTCTTCCTCTTTTTTTTGTTGTTTTGTTTTGCTTTGTTTCATTGTAGCCCAGAAGTTAGTGTTGCTGACTTTTGTCAAGAACAGCGGTAGAAATATCACGACTGACATAACTACCTGTAATATACTTGTTTTAGGGCTTTTAAATATAACGAGCCATTGAAATGATGATCCTTCAAGGACTGGAACTTGAATCACTGCAAACAAGTCTAGGTTGTGTCTGCTGTCAGATGTTTTTTGTTTGATGTAGATTTCACTCTTATGTACAGAATTTAATGTTGAATATATTCAAGTAACAAATCTGGCATGGTTTGGGGATGGTTAAATTTATTGGAAATGTATTCATACTGTGAATTGTGCTCTGATGGTTAACAGACGAGATTGTCAAGCATTCTGTATTACAATGGATGTAGAAATTTTTTTCAGATGGACAAAATGTATATGGTACAGATATGTAAAGTTTTCTATGTAAAAAAAAATTCTGTACAACTTTCTGTACAATATTTGGTTCTCATCTGGCATATTCTAATCAGGTTATAGGTCAATAAAGTTTTTGAACTCTTTCATCAGTGCAATCAAAACCAGTCTAATCCACAGCTACTTGTTTCAGTTTGCTTTGCCTCTCATGCCTCTGTTTCAAACCATGGCCTCCCGGAGGCAGAAAGGTGAGTGCCCTTTGGTTGACTATGATGTGTTTTCTCACTGTTAGAGACAAATACGGGGGGAAAAAGAATGGTAAATTAGAAAAAAAAAAAGGGCAGGGAGGAGGAGGAGAATAAAAGTGTCAAATGAATCCTCTAGTGCTGCACAGATAGAAACACAAATCCTGGGCATTGCTTTCTGGGGATTAAAATATAAACACCAAACTGACAAGGGAGAAAGGGTGGTTGGGAGGCAAAGGCTGGGTGTTCTGATGCTTGCTGACTTGGAACACATCAGCCAGCTCAGAGCTTTGTCAGCATCTCTGATGTGATGAGTAAAAGTGGAATTGGATTGTTCTCCAGTGTGTTCCCGCAAAATGCCTGACAAGCACCGGAGAGCAGTCTGAAGACTGAGGAGGTGTGTGAGGGAGCCTCCCCTCTCTTGAAGAGGAATGAATCTCCAGTTGCCCCTCACTGCGTGTTCCAAAAACGTAAGCAGTTTGATGAAAAAGCTCTGGAAAACCCAGAGATGGGAATCAACTTCCATGACCTGTGATTTGCTAAATTGCATTTACCGATGTCAGAAGGGGGAGATTTGAGGTTATTTTACTTAATTGTAATTGTACAACCTTCCCTCTTGGGCTATATTTTACTTTTCCAGTTTGTTGTGCAGTGTTTAAATCTTAAACCAGTGTGCAGGTACATTTATTTTGCAGGTAAGGCTGTCATGATGAAAAGTTTAAAAAATTTAGGAAGGCAGAAGGGCCTTTGACAGCTGAGCTGTGGAGATGCAGAGAAAGCTGATGGACCCAGAGGATCCTGAGTAGCAGCCCGGCTGCCCAAGGGGGCTGTGAGAAAGAGTGTAATTCATGGTGCTAAAGGCTGTTGAGCAGTGAGGTTAAAGTAAGTTCACTGGTTTCAGGCCACAGCAGCAGTGAAGAGGGGCTGGGCTGTGTCCTGGCTTGAACTGGAGGAAAAGAATGCTGGCCTGTGGTGGTCTGTGGCATTTACAAAACTTACTGCAGTGAAATGAGGGTGGTTTCTTAGGGTAATGTTTACTTTATGGTTCTGTTGGGGATAAAACTTCAATTAAAGTTAAGGGAATAAGGAATAATTAGACTACATAGGCACCTATATGAGGAAAAAGACAAGTTCTGTATGTAACCTGGAGTTAGTAGAGTTAATGTATCACAAAGTTCAAATTGTGAAGCAACTGAAAAGAGCCATCAGGCATCAAAACCAATGGCAAGGCTGCCGGGTGACCAAGATAAAATGCACAAGGTGGAATTCAGCATGAGAGGTGCTGGGGTGGGGGGTGAGTAAGTGTGTTGTAGAACATTTTCACCTCAGCTGCTTGAAGTTCCTTTGTGCTTCCTGCCTCTAGGAAGTTCAGAATGCAGCAACTGTGGGTCCTGTCCTGTGCTCCAGCGCAGATCTTGGATTACAGTAAAGCCCCTGCATGACTGGCCATTTCTGTCACACCCACACCGCTGAACATCGTGAGCCTTCTCACTGCTGAGCCAGAGATTCGGGGTAAGAATTAGCCAGATCTGACAAATCCCTCTGGGAAAGCACATGCTAAACCCATGAAGAAGCGAAGCACAACACAAGACTGTGGGACGTCTCTCTCAGCAAGAGCTGCCTGCTGTCATCATGGAACTACTGTGGCCTTCAAGCAGGTTTACAAAAGATTTAAAGTGGCATTTTAGTAAAAATAAAGATACTTTTACAAGTTTGCTGTTTTCATCAGTGGTTTTCTCTCCCCACCCTGGTTAAGCTGGGGCATCAGGGTGGGAATTTCCTAACCAAGAGGAAAGTTGCAGCCTTACCATTATTTCACCTTAGTGTTTCAGTTCATTGAACTCCTAAAATCTTACTTCCATCTATGTGTCCTTGTTAAAGCTCTGTGCTTTTAATCAACACATCTTCCATGTGTTTTCCTGTTTCTTTGAAGACAGCCTTAACATTCCAGTTTGTTCGTAAGTAAATGTAAGAGGAACGAAATGATAAATTAAGAAAATTGAAATCTGCTTACACTTTTTTTTTAACAAAAATAATTTTAGTAATAAAATACTTTATTTTAGCTCTTCTTTCAATCAGAAACATAAATATTTGCAACAATTTCTGTATTTTCAGCACGTAACAGGGAACATACGACAAATTGCTAATAGTAATTTGTTTTTTGTTGAAATGTTTGCTGCTGTTCCATGCACAACGAAAAGCAAGGGTCCTTCTCCAGGTTACTCACGCTTTTGGTAAAAACCTAATGCCCCTCTGCTCTTGGATTACTCTAGCTCCACACAGTTTTGGAGTTTGACTATAAAGCTAAAAAATAACTTTGATTTCATACCAAATTCACACACACCCCACACTGTATTTGTGTTTCAGCTCTGAGGGCGAAACCAAATTGTATAAAAAGTGCAAAAGCTGCCAAGCTATTCCTCCACTTCCCACAGCATGGAATAGAACACATCCCTGTGCTACATCTCCATTACACTGCAGTGTCTGAATCTTTATTATTGCTATTTTAAATTACACACACACACAACTCCACACTATGTACACGGAAGAGAACTCTCCCTCCAGGAGACCCTGGAAAGTGCGGTAGTGCTGGACGGTTCCTCCTCGGCCGCAAGGCACAGCTGGTTCCCGCAGGCCGAGTCAGCCGTGCGCGGTGGAGAGGCCCTGCCAACCCAGCGGGAGCGTCTTCTCCGGAGTCAGCTTGGCAGGGTTTGACTGCTCAGCCATCAGTCTCCGGAGCGTGTCGGAAGTTCCTGGTCGCAGCCAGGGCTCTGTCGCGACCGTGTCGACGGAACTGGGGCGTCTGCCCGTGTGGGATGGAGGGCGCTTCCAAAGGTCATCCATGTCTCCTAAGGAAATGTCATCACCTGGGAAAGGAGGAGAGCAACGCACGTGATAAAGGGGACAGAAGGTTATCACATCTTAGCACATTCGACAGGGTTGCTTGTCTGCAAAGAATGCATAAATAATGGTTGTAAATCACAGCTGCTTCTACTTGACACACACTTGTTGATGTTCTGGGGAACTGAGCCCCAACAGCTCCACACCCCCACCACCAGGTCAACAAGGGCAAAGGCAAAAGTGGATGGACTCAGTAGATGGTCCTGGCTTTCCCAAAAGCTCCTGTTACAGGGAAAAGTCAAATCTGTCAGTGCATATATGCCTAAAAATGCATTTAAAAATAAGGCCATTAAATTACAGTGGCATGGCCTAACACTCTTGTATAGACAGTCTCTTACTTGGAAGAATTACTTCACCACTGGTTAACAGTGTAAATGCAAGTGAGTCTGTATCACAGTCCAGCACAGCTTATAACCTCAGTGCATGCCACTCTGAAACTGGGTACGTTGTGATCTTCCAGCTACAAAACAAACCCCACCAAACAAAAAACTGAACTGCCTTGCCTTTGAATTTGGGGTCTGAACTCTACTCGTTTCCATTCTGTTAGCAATCATACCTAATACCTTAAACAAATCGTTCCTAGTGTGGATTATCAAACAACATAAATTTTTACTACATATGAAGGGATATAAATGTATAAATTTCTCTGTGCTGTTCATTTTTTGGCTTCATTACATTTACGTATATAAGCCACGAAATTACACAATCCCCAGATACACACCAAGAACAACAGAAAATTGCAATGTTTTCCCCTTTAAAGTTGAGTCATGTAAATGAAGAAGTTCTGGTTTGTTGGTGTGTGCTTAAGGTGGGCAGAAAAATATTTTAAAAATCTGGTTTAGGGAAAAAAAAAGCACACAATTTTTGCAGAAACATCCTAATTCAAGCAAAACTTAACAGAATTGTGTATTCTTTAGTGATCAAATAATTCCCTTTAGAAATTTGTGTCATTTAATTAAGTATTTGGATGATTTTTCTGACTTTAAGGTTTTTATTTTAGAAAAAAATGATGACTTTTTAAAATTTGATTTTAAACTAAAACTTCTCTGTATCTTCTCATTAAAACTTGCAAGTTGATGGTTTAAGCACAGGCATGAGACCTCAGGTCCTGCAGAAGGATCAGCCAGGTGTGAAGGGGTGAAGGGAAGGACAGAAACTGCATGACCCCACATACAATGGGAGCAAAGGCTCAGTTTTTCTCTTCATGCCCAAGGTGGGATTTCAGGTTCCAAAACAAAATGCCAATTACTTTCTGTTCAAAAAGAACTCAGCAGCAAATAGTTCTGTCACATCATACAGACAACTGATCTGATCATCCTCCAAGCCTTCCTAGTCTGGTTAAAACAAAACTTGTCTGTAACATTAGAAGTGAGAGCAGACCTCCCTCTCTCTGTGCCTAAAGCTGGCAGAGTAAAACCTCTTTGTCTCCTAAATCCTGGGTCAGATAAACTCTCCTGTGGGTTGGAGCCCACAGTTTTTACACATGTAAGTTATGGTGGGGTTAAAAACGGTACATGGCAGAAAAAGTAATACCTAAAGAATATTAAATTTATCTTTGCTGTTTCAAGAGATGATACTTAGAAACAATAAATATAAGGTAACATATTTCTTTAGAGAAGAGACAAACTGTGGCCATCCAGGCTGCAAGGCTTCATTTCCCCACGCTAAACTATTGCTGCCTTTAAAGACAAAGCCTTTAGATCTTCCAGATGTCAGAAGCAGGAACAACTGTTTTCACAGAGATAAGATCACAGTGCACAACACTGTATCAGAAGCACTTGGTGCTGCTTTTAGAAAGCACCACAGATCAGCTACAGTGCAAAACTTCCTTCATCGTGAATTTCAACACTTTGTATACTCCATAAAAAGCTGTTCTTAATTGGAACACATAAAAAGAATTTTCTTTGGAGCTGCCAGTTGATAATTCAGTTTGTATCTGCAGGCTGGGGATAAGCAGAGCTCTTTACTTTGCATGGAATACTGATTTAGAAACTTAGTGGCATCCTCCTGCAAAACACTGACCACAGCACATCCTGCCCCTCAACGAGAACAAACTCCTTTGGCACCTCGAGTGGACATCAGTGCTTGTCTTCTGCCAGCCTGCACTTACCAGGACCCAGCACTTCTGCCTGATCCTGCTGTACATCATTGCAGGCTCTGGCATTCCTTTACTTAAAGGCACAGTGAAACACCTAAAAAGTCTCAAGCCATTCAGGCAATTTCTCTTACATATAGCAGGGTCTCAGCCACATACCTAATGTGCCCAAATCTGGGAGAATTCTCTCTTCTGTATCTGAGCCTGCCCTTGTTTATGCAGTTAGGAACATGCACACCTTGCTCGCTCAGAAAGTATCTGCTGGTTGGCAGAGACTCCATCACTGAAAGGACTCACCAAGTCTACATTGATGGGAATGGCTTTTTTGGATGGGTGAAGACAGCAGAGTAGGCCTGGCTCCTTTTTTCTAATTTTCCAGTTAAGTAAGCAATGTTAGCGTGGCTTTGGGATTCCCACATCAGTCCCAGAGGGGGAAGTGAACTGCTGTGGACAGAGTCTCCTTACTGAGCCAACAGGATCAGCATTTAGAATTTATCTAAGCCTGTAAATTGCCATCTCTGGCAATTCTGGCATCTCTGGTATCTCTGGTCATTCAAAGGGAAGATAACCAGTTACATTCCCTTAGTTATTTATTTGACAGATTTGTTTTCTCCCAGCAGTGTCTCTGAGCGCAGAGGAGAAATAACAGTCCTAGCTGCTGGGAAAGCAAAAGGATGCCACGAGGGTTCTATCCAACTATTATGGAAAAGCAATAAAAACCACTTGACTTCCTTCATTTTTTCTGTAATGTCCCTGAGCATGAGGAGGGAACAGGAAGGCAGGCAGCAGTGCAGCCTGAACAACCACAGCTGGGCAAGAGCATCTCTAGCTACCTTTCCAAGAAGCACATATGATAAGTGATGGTTCCCACGTGTTCCAAAAAACAAGTTACATACAGGCATACAAATATACACACACACATACACAGATAAAAATTATATACTAAAGGCTGAAGCTCTAGAGATTATGAAAAACAGAAGGCAAACAAAATTTAAAGTGCAGTTCATAGGGTATGAAGTGAAATTATAAAAAAGGTGAGATAATAAGAGTAAGCGCAGAGAAGTAGAAGAAGATCGCATAGCAAAAATATCTGAGTGGAGTAAAATTAGTAAAGCATTTATTTAGGTTATAGAAAAAAATTAATATGAATGGGGTTTTTTAGTGACTTAAAAATCACAGTGAGATGTTTAAAGCAAACAAAAAAAGGATGAAGTGCTTGTAAGAGTACCCATAGCAACAGAATCAAAAATACTGCCAGCATCTGTACTTTCATTAAGTTTATAAAAAGGATACTGATACTGTAATTGCCTATACAGCATAGCAACCACCTCCTAAAAATGGGAGATTTCAGACTCATATGAAAGAATCTAGGGCATAACCCAAATGAGAAATTACAGGCCATTAATGGTTGCCATGACTGGTACTTCATACACAAAGGGGATTTAGAGCAGGCAGTCAGCCTATGGAGAAGCTCCAAGACAACTCCAGTCTGATGTATTATATGATGACAAGAAGCACAGAATGAATTCCAGTGCTTGTCCAGTGAATGAGGTATCGATATCAACCTCAGATACTGAATGCTCATTTCTATTAACCAACCACTAGAAAACGACATTAACTAGAAACTGAAGTACTTCATCATACACAATTTTCTGGCATATCTTCATGCTGGTTGGACCACAGACATCTGATTCCCAGGAGTGCCAATAAACTCACACAGGCACCTCATCACCATTCATCACTCAGGCGTTTCATTTCTTTCCACTGATATTTCAGCAATGCAGCTGGATATCCCCACCCTACTGCCAGCAGTGACACATCACAGTGGGACACACAGGACAAGGACAAGTGGCTGATCAGACAGAAATTAGAGCATCTTTTCCTACTACCCTGCTCTAAACTTACTCTAAAAGAGTTGTGTTAAAGTTTGCTGGGGAACCCCTTGCAGCAGCTACACAACTCCATGAATAATTCCTATGTTTGATCCAGTTGCTCAGTTATACTACGTGCAGCCTGTTATTATTTGTTCCTTTAATTATTGTAATTAATTAGTATTCACTACATCGTCTCTACTACACAGAGCATACCCAAGTACGCAGATTTCTGCTGGAGCTCAGTCAGTCTGTGCAGTCGTTCTTCATTCTTGCCTTTCAACTGATCAACATCGAGGCTGAGATCTGAGTGCAAACTAAGGCTGTCAGGCTGCAGCAGCGGTGTCTGGGCTACTGCAACATCCTCCTGCAGAAAATCCAAAAATGCACAATTCCTTCAGTTAAACAGCATCCTTTCTGAAAGGGCAAATAGCTACACATGTACCCTCTCTGGATCTATAACACCACAGGAACCACAGGAACCGTCTGACATTAGATCTGTGGCCCACCTTCATATTTAAGCCAATCCAGTTATCATACATACAGCACACTCCAAAGCTTTCTGCTTCATTCGTCTCCTCTCCCTTGCAGAAGATGGAAGTTGTGGTAATAAATTAACTTCTTCTAAGGCAGGAAATGTTTCCCCATTAGCACCTGGAAAAACAGGTGAAATCATTTTCAAAGAAATCAAAATACCACACAGTGCTCAAACCTGCTTATGTTTTGAAATGAGCTGATATACTGTACTTGATTTCATCACAGGAATCAAGGAACGTATTCATTAGGACATCTTGGACAAAGCCAATGAAAATTCACACTCAGACAAAAGAAAAAGGCACTACAATGGCAGAAACGGATGAACTTCAAGCAAAGGCCAGAAATATACCTGGAACAGGGGATCCAGAGAAGCTGTGGGCTCCCCATCCTTGGAAGTGTCGAAGGCCAGGTTGGAAGGGGCTCTGAGCAACCTGGTCTAGTGGAAGGTGTCCCTGCCCATGGCACAGAGGTTGGAACGAGACGACCTTTAAGGTCCCTTCCAACCCAGACCCTTCTGTGATTCTATGATATCTATCAAGATATCCTTTATATAGAGGACAAGGCATTTCACATCCTGCAAATCTATCACCCACCTCTCTTTACCAAATCGTTTTTACACCTAGACCTTTAAAGAAAAATGAGCATTCAAACAAGTGTAATATCTCTGCTTGAAACAGAGAACACTAGGTAAATCAGAGTCATAAAAAGATACAATCATGTAATAAATTATGTATGTAAATATGTTAAATGGAATATATAATAACAGTACACAAAATGATAATGTCACATAGAATATGATAATACATAATCTATGCATTAATCACACAGCCTTGGTCGTATCTCAGTGATTTCATGGAATAAACTGTTAGAATCTGTTCATACATAATAATTTCAAAAATAAATAATTTTTCTGATCCTACCTGTATCAAATTACAGTGGAGGGAGTTTAATCTATTTTTATAATATAAATGAACCCTAAGGTGATCTCTGCTTCACACTTCTTTTGTCTATTTCCCCTTCTTCTGCTGATTCTGGAAACTATTTCAAATACAAACTATTTCAAAACAGGTACTTTTTTTTTCTCCAGGACCAGTAACCACTGCCTGGGGGCTGGTTTATGGCTTTGCTGCTGCTTGCTGCAAACAGTGGGCTCTGATTCCCAGCTCAGGCCCTCTAGCACCTCCAAGGACTGAGGCTCCCAGGAAAAGGAAGGACTCTGCTCAACAAAACCAGTATAGAATCCACTACACCAACTACTCTTTGTAACAACAAAGTCACCTTTTGGAAAGGTGCTTAGTCTAGTATGACACATTAAGTAAAAGAATTAAGAAGATAGATGTGTATAAATTCTAAAAGTAACAATTAAACAATTATTTTGGTTGAAAAATGAAATATGTAGGTTTGAAAAACATATTTTATTGATATGAAACAAGTTCAGAGGAACAAAGAGATATTAAAAAATTCTTTTGTATTACCAGTTGGTTTTTCTCTGAAAACAAAAATTTTAGTTTACTCTCCTCTTTTCCCTTCCCAGTTTCACCAAAGGCACTCATGCTCCTATCACAAATGTTTCAATGAAAAAAACCAAAGTGTAATTTTGAAATGGCATATGGCTAACGATCCACACATCAGAGTTCCAGATACAAGACCAGTTGAACGTCACTACATTCAAAATAGTGCTCTTACTCAAAATATAAAAAAATGGTTTAATCATGTGAATTTATGACAACAGAAACAAAGTACAAGGTAGAATTTATTTGTACCATTAGTGTGTCATTCGTGTAAGATACTACCTGTTCCTGTAAACATCAGTCATTCAGATACTGCTGCACAGAGATGCTTTCAAATCACTGCATTAACACTAATGAATTCTAGAGTTTCCAGTGAGGCAAAAAAGAAGAAAAAGAAACTGATGAACCTCTTTGTTCCTAACTGCCTCAAATTTCTGAGCCCTGGGAGATAAATTCATTTATAACGCTGACATAATAAATTTAAAAATTGAGTTGGATTTTAAACTCTTGTAAAAAAAAAAAAAAAATTGACCAAAACAAAGGGTAGTGTTACACTCCTCTTAGGAAATGAAAATCATTGTTAAAATATATCCCAGGTATTTCACAAAAGACCCTCAGACAATGTGAGCAGCACAATTCACAGAGAAGGCAGCCACAGATAATGATAGTCAGGGATAGGAGTCACCAGATTCACATTCAGAATTTTAATTTATGAGGCCCAAATAATGCAAAGGATAACCAAGTTTTAGTTAGTGCATACAGCTCAGTATCAGAAAACATGGTTTTCACCACAGTCATAAATGATCTGGGAATAAAAGGGAAAAGAAAGGGGGGAATATATAATATCATAGGTTAACTCCATCACCTCACTGAGCTGCAAGTACCAGTTGGATGGGGAGTAAAAGAAAAAGGGTGAGAGGACTATAAGAATCATGAACCTTGTGAAAGTGGTGAATAAAACCAGGAGCACCTCATTACACAGATTCAGAGCATATGAAAGGAGACAGTGTGGATGTTTATCCACACAATATTGCTAATGGTGAACAATCAGCAGGATTTCAAAAATACTCATTCCCATTCATGAAAGACAACCTATTAAACCCAGCTTTGCAAGACTTATTAATTACATGCAATTACACAGCATTTGGCTTGGGAAGCCTCCGAGCCACAAGTCACTGGGAGCTGGAAGAGCATGGCACATCTACCCTCTGTCCACTATTCCTCTCCATGAGCCTATCCTGGCTACTGTTAGAGACAGGATAGTTGGCCACATTCTAGACTGATGGGCTCTCCTAAAGCATCCTTTCACTATTTGGGCTGTACTCTTCCTAACCTGAAAAAGAAGGCATTGCAGACTATAGAGAGTACCAAATGCATTGAACAAGGCTGAAACTTCACCCTGTGCCACTCCCAAGGCCAGGCTCTATCCTGTACTCCAGGTCTTGCATGCTGACAGAATAAGCTTGAATACATTTCAAATTAAAAATTCTGCTTTTAACCAAAGCCAGAGATAATAATCATCAGTTTATCATCTACTTTCATTAAAAAGCAGGACTCAACTGCATCTCCCCTACCACAAAGAATAAAAAGCTTGTAATAAGATTTTCTACAGATGAATGAAGGAAATTTCAAGATGCTTTAATACCTGCTAATGGAAAATAATGTGTAGAGGCCTGAGTTGATTGGGGTTTTCTAGCCTTACTATTTGTAGTGAATGGAAATAAAACAGCACTTTTACATATATGCAGATGAAGGTTGAATAAGGAGACTTAAGAGAATATGAGGCAGTCCTTTATAAAAAAATCTTAAAACTGAAAATCATCCACTTCAGACAATGAAAAAGTGACAATATTTACAAGTATGATGTTTCAAGTGAAATGAAATAATACGTGAACAGCAGAAAAGTGATTAATTTAGAAAGAATCACTATTACACCCATATAATCATATTTAAAATTGAGTGTGCTTGTAAATCAAAAGAATAACTATGAAAATAATCACCAAGACTTTTGTATTTCACTGTAGACAGCTTGCAGTTGTAAACTGTGTTTGCCAATAAAGTACTTTATTTGCCCCAGAACAACAAAAAAGCATTATATATTCTACCATTGTAATATATTTGCCAAACAAATATTAGCTTTTCCTTATCCAAAGTTGGGAAGATGTCAAAAAAGCTCCTAGACAAGACTAGCAGCCCAGACAAGGTACGAAGAGCAGAGAAAGATGCTTTCTCATCAAAGGATGTAAAGTGGTATAAGGCAGCATCATTAATTTTAGGGGTGATCCACGCAAATTTATTGTGGTACAATTTCATAACTATTTGCATTTTAATTTGGAGGCATAATTTTCTAATACTTTAAACCAATCAGCATACCTACAACCACTGTAACTTTTAAAACAGTAATAATCTTTTTAGAGACACAGCATTTGATTAAATACCATGTTTGTACACTCACAAAATGGTTAAGGAGAGGTATAAACTCACCGATAAAAGCGCTATCTGATTCCAACAGTGAATTCTTCAAGAATTCATCAGATTCATCCCTGAACTACAGAAGTGAAACAAAAGAAATGGAAATTCAGAGGCCTCAATATATTTCTGGAGCCAAATTACAATTAATGTAAATTAACTGCCAATTTTACTTCTACAAAGTAAAGAGCAGCTCTACAGTGTTATATTCTACTATACCTTGCTTTAGGTTTCTATAAACCCAATACATTTTTTAATAACTCATATTCCCTTTAAGCATTAGGGTCTTTTTTTCACTTTTCTGTAGTAATGCCATTTGCTGAAATTGCCCACACATGGCAGCTGTTGTGGTGATTTGTGCAACACAGACACTTCCATCGAGAAATGGATCCTTCTCCCTCCATCTGAGTTTGAGAACAGTCAGTGCTAGAGGGGAGCTTTGCACTTTGGGTTTGTATGAAGTATTGACCAAATGAAGAATGATTCCTTATGTTTTGCTAATCCCACCACATACAAGCTTTGACATTAAAGCATTAAAATGACACATTTCTCCATCGTAATAGCAAGCACTAAGACCAATACTCCTAGTTCACTCCACAGATGCAATCATTTGTTACAGAAATTCTACTATGGAATAATTTATGTTGAAAACCACTCTAAAAATCAAAGCAGTAGAAACTATCAGAGGAAACAGAACAAGAGAAAACAAATCTTTTACTGCAAAGCATTGCTCTGAATGAGAATTTCAGGCAATAAATTACAACTATAAAGTGCATTAAGATGATTATTTTTTTAAATAAAAAACTGTTTCATTTCTGAATGTAGTTACAGTATACCCTCAAGGTTAATGTCTTTGCTCTTGCACAGTCTCCTATTTTGCATGGTTTCACATTACCATGAAACACAATTGAACTCTGTTATTCTATAGTTTGGGTTAGTACAAAATTCCAATTTGATAGCACTTTATTTTGCTCTTGTTCACCAAGTCAGAGAATAAACATTCCATCTGAGACAACAGACTTTATTCTTAACTCCCAAGTCCATCCCATAAACCATCCAAATTTGGAGCAACTGCTTCTGGCTTGTCTTTTTCTACTAATTCTACCCCCAGGCAGCAATTGAACACTGAATGAATATAAAATACATACCAATGAACATAAAAGGAAGGGAGTTAAAGAATCAGGTTATTTCTATACACAAACATAAGCAACTTGTATGTCAAGTTTAAAGAGGCTGTTACTCATTGTATGGACAAGCAAGAGAAGTAAGTAAGCTTGCTGCATTGTTATTTAAGTGTAATTCTCCTCTCCAAATCAGTGAAAGACACAATATTTCTCACACTTGAAAAAGCAATATAATACAAATCCTGTTTTATACTTACCAGTCCCATGGTTTGTGGGTAGCTGTCAGAAGGAGAATCATCTTGATCAACGAAAGCAACATGGACAAGAGACAAAATGACAGTGTGGACACAAAGTCAGTCAATAACAAAACAGATTGAAAGTTCTATCAGTACACAATTACAAAAATTAAGACCAGCATGCATTACATCTTTAAATTTGCACACATTGTAATGAATGAACAAATTTTCAAAACATTTGAATGCCACGTTTATTCCAGTTTCCTTACGTAAATTTAAGTAGGATCAGTGAAATCAAACAGAAATCCGTAGTGTATTGTTTCTGAGAAGGTTGAGCATGTGCAAGCCCCTAAGGCTGGATTCATCAGTCACATTCATTTCACACTGTTCACCACTAATAAAAATCAACTGGTTTCCATCTTATTCAAAATCTTACTTGTTGTCCAGAAGAAGGAAACATAGCTATTTCTGTGGCTACTGAAAACCATTTTTTGAAAGATATAATCACATTTCACTAAATGCTAAAAGTTCTCTATACTGCAACAGTCAGAACTATTTCTGAGGTATGTTTACAATAATATTGTAAACACTTGTGATAGAAAGGTCATGTCCAAGTACTGACTGAATAATGCGAAAAAACATCAATTTGTGGGAAAGCAGTACAGTTTAAATCATCAAAGCAACACGTGGAGGCACAAAAGTTTGCTGCATGAATACTTAAGTTTCTCTCTCTTCTCTCTAATGCTTCGCTTGTTGATGCCTGAAGATCCTTACTGTTGGAATTACTGCTTCTTCAACAAAATCCAGCCACACAGCTAGAGAGAAATGGGGTTTTTGTCCAGTGTTCTGCACACTGCTGAATCCTAATGCAAATGGAATGCAGCACTCATAAAACCCAACAGGTTAAGTAACTGCAGATGAAAAAGCATTTAGACAGAAATCTATTTTCCAAAGTGCAACAAATAACTCCAAGTTGATGGCTTCCTTACTATAATGAAGATTATCCTCCCTTTCCTAGTATGCGTATTTTGGTTTTCCTGCCATCATCTTCACACACTAAATTTTATGTGTCACATTTTTTTCCTTACACGAAACACATTTGTGAATTAAAAAAAAAAGAACAGAAGTTAATGGTATTCAGCATCCCAGTGGTTGCTAATGCTAAACTGCAGTACTTTAAACTCCATCTCAACTTCCCAGCTAGGACACAAAAGACCCCAAAAATGGTGAGAAATCTCTCTAATTTATCATTTTTTGTTTAAACTAGATATGAACCAAGCAGAAATACAAACCAATTCCGTATCAAATTTAAAAAATTAGAGAGCCAAAAATGAATTATTTCTTCCACAATTAGGGATCATCCAAGCCATATAATTCCTCCCACCAATTTGGTTTTTGCCACTATTTTTAGCAGTTTATCATGGGCTAGACTGCGAGTCATGAGTCTCATTTATATGCAGTGAAGCTAAATATTACACAGCTTGGTAGTTAAGATCCATGGATACTCAAAAAATATTTATTCTATATTCCAGACATCTGCTTGCCGGGAATAAGCATGTTTGTATAGATAAACAGTTGTACTTATACCAACAGAACTCAAGACTAATGATCTTCTCCCCTAGGTGGGACATCTCCACAATCAAATTGACTAGCAAGGAGGATGGTGTGTCACAATCAACTCTGCTAATGAAATCAGTTCTCTTGGCTTCTGTCAGGGTGTAATAACCAGAGCAGGGACTGCAGAAAGCCCCAGGAGTGAATGAACACTCAGCACGCTAAGCACACCACTCTTGCAGCTTTCAAGGGTGGTTGAACTAGACAGAGATCACTGCAGAGGGAAGTGTTTGTGTAAGGATAAAAACCTCAGTTCTGGAGAGCACAGAGAATCATCCTGACATTTAATGTATCATTAAATGATATCATTAGGTCATTCTAAAAGTGACCTAATGCATGCTGGAAATGCAAAGAAGCAAAACTGAAGTTACTTTTCCTTATTTAGTGTAAGTTTTCAAATAAAAAATTTAATAATGTTTTATTAATTTCTAATTTTAAAATTATTTTAATTAAATTTTTATTTTCATTTTTAATTTTTTTTTTTAGTCTATTATTTTTTAATAAGATAGTTTGGGGGATTTGCATCTCTGTCTAGCAAACTTATTCCGTGTGTAGCTGAGCTTCTGTCCAGCATCACAAACCAGAGCACACGGACTATCAGTCCATTCCCAATACACTACTCCAGTCACGCAGAGCCCAGCACTGCAGTGCAACAACAGCAAAGCTGCTCCTCTGCCTTTCCCTCCTATCCCCTGAAATAACAGATGTCCAGAAATCTGCAAAAAGTTGTCTTATTTATAGGATACATCTAGCATTTAAAACCGAGGACATTTAAAATCACTAGTTTCTCAGGTTATAATTCCACTAATAGTCCACATATTTCTCCTTTATGTAAAGAGAAAACAAACAAACAAACAAACAAACATATGAGAGGGGAAATTGTATCAAAAGCATGTAAGGTAAAGAACACTTACACAGTGTGGGAAAACAGGTACACCTTTGCCACTACAGCCCATAATGTCACATTTCACCCACAGTACAAAATTACATACTGCTCTAATTCATCTTCCTTAAATCAGACAATAAAACCACTCACCTATTTTCAGTGAGGGGATGACAAACTCTCCTCTGAGGAAAATATATCGTAAATAGAGGAACACCTAGTAACTAGTTCTCTTGCTCAGTGACAGACTATAAAGTTAAATGATGTTGTAAAGTGATAGGGGAGAGAGAGAGAGAGAGAAAAAGAGAGAGAAAGCTGTTCAAGGATCCTCTAGAAGGATGGGTAGAAAATCATTTAAAAAAATCAGCTGCTTGTCTAGCAACTAATCCAAGTTGTCCAAGCAAAGGGCTCTTCAGGTTGTCATCATGTAAGCCTGCTGTATCCATTTAGCATTAGCAGATGTCTAAAATGACTGCATGTCCTCGAAATTAATGAAAAAGGCAAATTTGCTTTCTAGATTATGGGGGTTCCTCCTCAGACAATATTAAATGAAAACTTTCTCTGACTGGACTATTAAAAAATATTCTAATGGCAGAAAACCAGAACCAAACCCCAGAGAAATCTCAGCTGAAGCTAGCGAATTATTTTTCACCATGTCAATCAATCTCATAGAGAGGAAGACTGAAGACAACCCTATACACTCCATTTAGACATTAAATTATATTCACAACCATGTAATTAACACAGAAAGTGGTACAAATGTGCTTATTTGCAACTGTGATGTTCTGTTATCCATAAGCAATATCGGACACATTTGCTCTAAAGCTAAAAAGTCTAAGGAGCAGTCGTATGGGTGGCTGAGGCAAGGCAAGGACTGCAGGGGTGGCCACTGTGAGAAGATGCCATGGATGACTCTGTGCCAGGCGCAGCTGGTGCCATAACAGACCTGCAGCTGAGCCCATCAGTCAAGCTTGTAGTGCCTCTGAAAACATATTTAAGAAAGAGTAAAGCAAAGCACAGCAGTTAGGAGTGAGGACAAACACATGAAAAGCAGACATGAAGGTCAGAGAAGAAGGAGGAGGAAGAGATTCTCCAGGTGCCAGAGCAGAGATTCGCCTGCAGCTCCTGAAGAGACCATGGTGGAACAGATGGAAAGGTACAAGAAGACAGAAGCAGAAGAGAGAAACCACTATCCACTATGTACTGACCATATTTTCCCCCTGCCTCAGCCTGGCACCACTCACTGCATCATCAAAGAGACTCAACATAACCTGTAGTGGTACCAAGGAAGGAGAGCAGGGGCACAGAGTGAAGGAGCAAAGCTGGGTATGGGGAAGGGGGCAGAAAAGGTGCGGGTTTGATGTCTTTTTGTTTCCTGCTACTCGAAGTAAGTAATTAAATATTCAAGTTTAGAGTAATTAAGTTAATTTTCCCCAAGTGAGGTCTGTTTTGCCCACAACAGCAGCTGGTAATCAACCTTCCCACCTACAGCTTGGCCAGCAAGCTTTATTCTTCCTGTTCCCCCTACTACCTCACCAAGGGGCAGGAGTGAGGGGGTGTAAGCAGGAGCACAGCTGGGTGGGAGTTCGGCTGCTAGCAAAGGCTAAGCCACCACAGAAATAAAGTTACTCTCTCTTCAAAAATTTAGCTAGGCCACTCTGAATTACAGAGGCAAACACTTTTCTGAGAAATCTGTAGCTTGCACTCAAAACTGACTTCATTTGTATAGTTTGGAAAGGCTGGAGCAATTCTCATTATATCTTTAAACATCTCTATTATGCAATACAAGCAACATTTTCCTTCTGGAGACTCAAAAGTATTTAAGATATCTCACATATGGTTTATAAAGCAAAGCTTGTTTATGGATAAAGGTTGCTGAAACTTTGAAATAATCAAGCCAAGATTATGGAAATAAAAGAAATTTAATCTATTAAAAGGAGAGCAAAGTGAAGATATGCCAGATGCATTTTAATCAATTCACAGCTCAAAGCCATCGACTTTCTCAGTGAGAACTCAAGAATTGCTTCAAGGAACTTATCTGCTAACACTTTTATCACAGATCAGCTGAAGAGTTACCCTGCTCTGTATTTTTCTTTAAAAAACAGTAACCAAAATAATTACTTCTCTTTGCATTTTTCTGAAGTATGAGGCACGAGCTAAATTATTTTCATCAGGGAACCAAAGAGAAACAATCGCAGTAATTAAAAAAACCCAAAACCAAATACAAAACCTCAAAAGCTCCCACAAACACTCCGTTTCTTTATGCTTGCATTATGGGAGAATTTCAGCATTCTGGTGTTCTAATGTTTTCTACTGCAGTGCTGACAGTGAACTTGAAAGAAGCAAAACTAGACCTCATGGTTTTCAATTCTTATCGAATTCAAATCACAATTTCAATGATTTTTGTTGATCTCAGACCATTCATTCCTTACCTCCTGTTTCTCTCCTCATTCTCATTCTGTCAAGTTTCTTCTGCTGCTCCCTCAACAGTGCCCGCTGTTGAATCTCTAGAGTCTGGTCATCTTTTGGAGGATCAGGATACATGTGCCTCAAGCCAATACGAGTTTCAGAATCTATGGCAAAGATAGGAAATTGACACTTTTTTCCCTAAACCAACACTTCTGAAAAGTGTTTTTGAAGAAGTAGCTACAGATACAAAGTCATCAAAAAAATCACATTAAAAATAACGGCGACCGTGGCCAAGAGGATGAGGCACTTAGGAACGATTCCACAATTTTACTATATTAGAAATATATATTTTCTGGTAAAGGAGAAACAGAAGGTTATAGAGAATCATAATTTGTTGGTGGGTTAAAAAATCTAATTCAGTCTACTCTCAGTAACACCACAACATCAAAAGCACGGGAAGTTTAAGCAGCAAGGACTGGAAGAGAGGTGAGTGCTCTGAGTGATAATGCAGCATTAGGGATGCTGTGAATTAATTCCAGGTACTTGTAGGAACAACCACACAGAGATACACAAACAGAAGGCCATCCACGGTATGTGTATTGATGAGTAGCTGTGAAGAGCCTGATTATTATTTTTGTCTTTAAATACTGGGTGAAACGGAAGATGGAGGAAAAGAACAAGATGTTTCACTACCCTTCTTCATCAGTAACAAGGTCTACCTGCCTTTGTATTTAAGTTCATTAAATTCCCAGATATTCTGTATATTGACAGGATCTTGTGTCTTCTTTAATGAATGTCGCCTTACTGGAGCCTGCAGGCGAAGCCTGGCCTTCTCAAATATATCCTTTGGATTCTTGTCTCTCCTCCTTCTTGAAAAGTTTGTAAAACAAGCAGAGTGTAGTATTAATGAGTTGGATGGAAATATAATATTGATAAAATTTGGAACTTTTATCCTTAATAAATCTATCTAAACAGGAAAATAAATCTCAAAGTTGTTATAGAAAGGGATAACCTACTTAAAATTAAAAAAAAAAACCCTCATACTTTATGGAATAGGACTAAGACTGGTGATCTTTTCCAACTAATTGGTATGATTACCTAATCCATTTTGGAAACAAAACAAATTTATTAAATAAAGTGGGTATGATTTTTCAAGAATAAAGCAAGTACTTTCACAGTAGAATGGCATTCAAGAATATATTCAACAGCAGTAGTTTTACAGGCACATTTGTGCATTTTATAGGCACAAATTATGCCCTAGGAAAAGAGGTAATGAGATAAAATTCTGCCTTACACACCCTCTTTCTGAGACAGAGCATTGCAACCCCCAATCTTACAATAAACTATTCTTATAATAAACTTGAGCAAGATTCTTGGAAAAAAAACATACACATTAGAAAAAAATGAAGATAATTTTATATAATCTTAATAATAATTTTATATAATCTTAATAATAATTTTATATAATCTTTATATCTTCATTTCACTCATTTATACTGGCCAACTAATACTAGCTAATAATACACAGTAGCTCTAAGTTCCTATGCAAAATCTAACTTTTAAAACTGAAGATGAAATTCTTACCGTGTAATTGGTACATCACCATCAGTGGCCACATTTAGCAACTGTTCCTGCAGTCGCCTTTCTTCACTACGAAGCTGTTTCCTCATCTCTGATAATTCATTTATCACATTCTTTCTTTCCTCTGGAATTTAACACAAATAATTTAAATAAAGAGTGCCATGGCCACTTTTCTGCCTACTTCATAAACATAAGGTAAAAAAAAGGAGAAAACAGAGATAATGTTAATTAAAACAAAGACTGTACAAACACAAGGATCACAGCATTTCATACACTGGAAATTAGGTCAGAGCTTCTATTTTGAGACAGCACAAGGACGAGATCCCCTGAATAGCAGAAAGCATCCAAACGTCACTAGAAATGTTTCACTGTATTTAAAAAAGGAAAAGCGATGAAATAGCAGCAAGAGGGCATTGCCAGTAAAAAGCCTTACTTTGAAATAAGCAAACCTACACAGTCCTCAGAGGTCCAGAGGCAGATGACAGGAATTGAGGTGGTATCTGCAAGCACACAACCTCATTTCTGTTTCCTGTCTCAAAAGTGGGATATATGTCTGTACAGTGCAGACTGTCTTAAGTGGTCAAGAGTTCTAACTTCAATTTCAAAGCTTTTAGTATGTGCTTATGCTGACTTTTTAGATCTACTTTGGGTCTAAGCTGTTTTTTGGTGGTCAGGACAGCAGTCCTGCATAAGTTAAACCAGTTTAATAAATTCCTCATTTTCCAAATAACATGCTTAGTAATTTGATATTTTACTGACTTTTAGACTGTGTCCAGAACCTAGCAGGGAAGCAAGTTTTACCAGTTTAAATCCTCAAACATGAGACTTAATCCATATGTCTTTATTTCTCTCAAGGCAGACAGTCTGAGCCAATCAATTTCCAATGGCCACATTAAGAACCACTCTCCCATCTAGTGGAAAAGCCACAACAAGACAGTGTTGTGCTGTTACATTCCATATGTAGTGGTGTTACTGCTTCATTCCACATGCTGTTTCTTATATACTTGTAAAAAAGAGTCAGAAGGAAAATTACTGTTTTCCACCCGTATATTGCCAAGATAACTAGCATATAAAAAAAGCAAAGGAGATCCTCCCAGCATAGATGAATTTTAAAACCACCTGTGAAAGCTAAGAGGAACAAGCAGAGGATTAGGCAGATTAACAAATATAAGCAGAATTTAAGAGTTACAACTGCAATTGTTGGTTTAATCAGCCAATGCAAAACTCTCCCGTTTTGCAAAATTCTGATTACAGTGGTAACAACTGTTCTGACAGAGATCCAGCACTTCCTGTGAAGACTATTCCATTATCAGAGTTTTTACAAAAAAAACATTTCCTGATGAAGACACATAATAAATGCATTTTTATTTTGCATTAAAACTTCAGACATACCATACCAATACACTGATACTATTAAGACAGAGAAAACAACCACATAAAAATGCAAACTTTAAAAGACTATTCCTTTGCAGGAAAGAAAGGGAACTGTAACTAAGAACAATTTTCTTGTAACAGAAAGTGAGTTTGCAGTAAAGACAGATACCCACCTAATGAACGCAACTGATTTCTTCTGGCAGGGACAGGTGGAGAAGGAACTCTTGGCTGTGCAGGCTCCTAGTGATCATAATGAATATGAAATGTTAATATGTGAAAGGAAAAAAATATAGTACCTTCTATTTTCTTATTTTACATTCAATTTACATTAACAATTGGAAGACAGAATAATAACCTTACAGGTTGTTTAAGGTTTTTTTAAATCTGATGTTTAAATGTATAATCCAAATTCCTATACTTGGATAGTATTTACAGCCACTATAAACTTATATATTACTGTAATGCACTATTCAGAGATCCAGACAAACCTATACCAAGTTCTGCTAAGACAAAACTAAACAGACCATCCTCCAGAGTACTTTTCACATTTAGGGAAAGCAATGGTTTTAATACGGTTTAAAGGCCAACATAAAATATTCTCTGAAACTGCACTATAAGGTATTTAGCTGAGTTCATATGTTTGTAAAAAAACCCAAAAAACACTTCCTCAGTAAAAAGACAGAAGTTTAGACTGAGATTCAAGTATCATAACCTATTATTTAATCTACTCTTTATAAGAGAAATTTATCTAAAAAAACAAAAAAATATTGTCCCCGGGATTAACAAGGGAAAGAAATGGGATGTCTCAGGACCACTCCTGTAACTCATTTTTGATGCACAGAAGAAAGCAAAGTATAACTGCAGTTATAACCTTCTGGTACTTTCAAAAACATAAATATGATACAAGAATGTCTGTAGCTATGAATCAACATTAAACTTTGTGCCTGAGCTAAATTCTTGTCTGAGTGAACACAAAGACCTGCCAGATAATATGTAATCTTTCTTATCCTAGATCTTGAGATCATTAACCCTTCTAGATCGTGCTAGTCCTCTCCAAAATGAGGTACTCATCCCTACAGAATATGCAAACGCAGAACAAAAAATTCAAACAACACATGGCCAAAAAATTTCTTCAATACTTGGAACCAAATTTAGCTTTAAATTTCAGAGCTACAAGACTGATCAATGTAAAGTTATCTGTAAGTCTCCAGTTATCTGTGGCATTCCAGTAATAACTAGCAAGCATTAAAAACCTGGTAGGATTTCATATGCTGTATGATCTTAAATAAACCAGTACAAGTTTGCTACAATAATCATACTTGTGAATGGTAAGATACAAGGCTCTCAGCAGAGGGAATCCTTTCTTCTTTTCTTACTGATTTGTTCTGAAGAGTGGGAATGATGGGAGAAGGTCGCCGTGAAAACTGCACGGAGGAAAGTAAGGCTGAAACTACGTTCCTATAGCTTCTGAATAAAGTATTATTTTGGACAAGGAGAGTTTTGTTAGTATTTTTCATTTGACAGAAAAATGCTCTTAAGTGCATAAAATTATTTCAAAAATTATTTCATGTGATTTTGTTTCCTACCTAGAGTAGTTTTAATCCTTTTCTTTTCTGTGCCATAGGGACTTTTTTCATTCATGTTTAAGTTACATATCTCTTTTTCCTCTAGACACTCCCACTATATCTGTCCACTTCAGAGAACTGACAGAAATTTTGTAGAAATTTTATAAGAGAAACAGTTTTATAATTTACTTTGATTTTGTCCATCAAAATTCGATGTGATGGACTTTCTACACCACCCAGGTCAAGAAATTATTAGAAAATTATTAGATTATCAAGAACACCATTGTTCAAGATGAACAGTCCTACCAGTCCTCCACACTGTATAACTCATTTTATTTGTATTTGCACCTCTGCAAATGCAGATCATAGCGCTTCACTGCGGATATAAAAATCAACTATAGACTGCAGCTTGCTCTTACTATGCTTGTTTTTACTATTTTTTAATGCAAAATAAATCAGCAAGATAAGTTTCCACTGCAGCATGTCTGATTTTTTGCACTAAGTATACTGTAGCTTGATAAAGTGAGAAGGGAGCAACACTGAAGGTGGAGGTCTAAGAAATCATGTGATTTCTTTAAAATCCAGTTATTTCTAAAAGTTAGAAAGAAGTATTTGTATCTTAGAAAGTCACTGAAGCATACCATCTTCTTTTCCTCTTCCATCTTTTCTTTCTCAAAATATTGTCTAAGTTGCTCCTTTTGCTTTTCTTCTTTTTCTTTTCTCTTTTTTTCTGCCTCTTTTTTCCTTTCTTCATCCAATCGAATTATTTCTTCATTTTTCAATCTTCGCTGTAACATAAACATTATCAGCGCATTAAAAAAAGACTCAAAATTACTAAAGTTTTGGTTTGGTTTTCTTTGGAAGGTTAAAGTTACACATCAAAGATGTAAACAAAACATACTGTAAACATGCACCACACTATCACAAGCCCACAGAGAAAATTATCATCCAGTCTCGATTTTAGTCCTGTGTTTGTGATTAGGAAAATACCAGTAAGCTTCCCACTCTATACTAGGCCAGCTCTAGTATTCAGAAGACAAGGCTGATCCAGCTAACTTGCTCATACTATATGGAAAGAGAATTTAGAATATAAGCTAAGTTTTCTCTCTTGAAGTCCTACATCCTGAACCAACCTTTCATAATCCCACAGTGTATTGAAAGATCCCTCCATCTCTGATGGTCCTGTGTCCTTTTCCTACAATTATTTATGATATTCAAAAATTATGAAGATTTATTCACTTTTTCAAACCTGATAAATAAAGCTTTTACTTTTTAAAACTTAGTTTTAATTTAGTCCATAGGGATTGATTTGGATTTGAATTTACCTCCATGAAAAGCATTCATTAAATTTGCTTGCTGTTCTTCCCAAACAAGCAGTATTCTTATCTCAAAGATATCTCTTCACCAAATAAAAAATAGCTTTATAAAACGTTCCTGTATAGCTACATTCAGACTACAAATAATTCCACGAGAGATAGATTTAAGATGTTAATAAAAAAACACCAAACTGGGCTGTTTTTTTTTTTAATTCACCAATTTGACGAAGCTTTTTATTGGTCTTATCATCAAATTTCTTTAGCAAGAAGAGCACTGCTGTCACTTATAAAACTATGCAATTTTTCTTAGAAGCATTAACAGCACTTCAAGTTCATAGTGCACGATGAAGAGTGAGAAGAATGTGCTAGTTAATGCTGACAATCTTCCACTTCTCCTCTGGCTAACACAGACCCATTTACAAGCAAGGACCAATGCACAGGACACTGCTCAGTTTACCTTCTCAGTCTAGGCGACAAATATTGCAAAGGGTTAGTTTAGGATGTAAAAAGGTCAAAGTATCAAAATACTACACCTCCTCGTCTTTCTTCCTTTTCTCTTCTTGTTCCTCTTCATACTCTTTTTGAATTCTCATCCTCTCTTCTGCTATTCGTTTTTCCTCTTTTTCTTCTTCCATTCTAAGTTTTTCTCGTTCTGCTTCTTCCCTACGTCTCTTTTCTTCAATCTAGAAAATACAACAAAGAAGTATTTAACTGTCAATAGCCAGCAGTAATCTGATAAACAACATTTACCATCATGACCTTTTGCAGTACCTACTTGCACAGCCAAAAGTTCTATGGCACAATTGAAAGAATACCAGGGCCTGTCTTGCATTTCAGCTTCAGAACTCCTTTAACATGACATTCTATTTCACTATTTCTTTTTGGCCACCTTTTACAGAACCACCCTCCAGTAAGAAAACAACTTATAAATGCTACTAATAAACCCAGAATATTTCCTAACACTTACTCTACTCCAGATATGCTGGAATAACACTTTTCTTCACTGATTAAATAATGGAAGATAGGAAACCAAGCCAAAAAATATATAGCAATTCTTCTTCCTTTCCAGGAAGAAGACCCAGTGTTGACTTACTAAAGCTAAAGGTCTGCCCTTTAGTCTTTTTGGCACCCCATACATGGAAAAAAAACCCCTTGATCTTTTCAAGAGATCCGCATCAAACTACTGTATGACTTTAGTACTCTTTTAAATTATCTGGGATTTCCTCAATATTGATATTTAATTCCTGTGGTACACAATTAAATGTGAAGTATTACAGATAGAAGCCAGAAGTTGGTAGAAGAACAGGCAGATTTTATATACACATCAATAAATAACTACACTGTGACTGTCTCACTGATCACCATTTCATTTTGATGAGTGTGCATTTGTAACATGTAAACTTCCAAGGGCAAACATCTTTGTTTCTTTAGGTACTTATGTGTGCAAACCTGTACAGTATGCACAGCTGGAAAACCCAATACTGTATTTGAAGAGCTGTACTTAGGGGAAAAAAAAAAGAAGATAGAACCTGGATTAAAGAAGCCAACTAATAAGAAATGCTTATAAAAGTGATGTTATTATATAAGCCAAAATCTGAGCAACTCGATAGTACACAGCTCTTGCTACACCTCTCGTGTACAGAACTGGGTATGATTGGGTAAGTAGGGTCTTTGGTTGGCAGTGGTGATTTACTCTGACTGCAAACCCTCTTTTTATAATTCATTTAACCAGATGACATCTGGTGTGCACATTCACCTGCAGACGAAGAGAGTTCTTGTATGACTCCTGCTGCTTAAGATACTGCGGAGACGGTGGTTCACCAAACACGTTACCTCGAGCAAAAGGAGAGGCCTGTGCAAATGTAACACCTAAAGGAGGGGAAAAATTACAGACAAAATCCAAAGCAAAATTAAGACAGCAAGTCAGAGTGAAGAAGGGAGTCTCTAAGACACTTGTTTCAAAAGGTATCTTATGACAGCCATAATTCAAGACTATAATAATAATAATAATAATGGCCAGTCAACAGCTGAGATTAAAAGATATTACATTGCCTGCCTACAATACTGCCAGGTTTTAGCTGCTTAATTAATAAAATCAAAGTGAGTTGTTTTTTTTACTAAATAACACCTACGAAAATCATATATTTTGCTGTCTGATCTGCAGTTCAGTATCTAAAAATATTACCTGCAAGTTAATTAGAACAGCAAATACTTTACACCTCATAACTTCACTGCTTGCAATTACTCTTGGAACATACAGTTCTGTTCCTTAGGTTTTTTTAATACTTGAAAACAGAGCATCCTAATAGAACAAATTCTTAGGTAAAATAGCAAAGGATGCTATACAAAGCAAAGCCCTAGACTGGTAAATAAAATTCTGAGCAGTCAGAAAACTGAATTCTGCCAGTAAAAGGTGCCTTCCGTACTACGAAGCAGGAAGTGTCAGGTCCCCTTTAGCCCTGAGTTACGAACACGTCATAACCATACAGTCCCAAAAGCTGCAGATAGAAGGATTAATTCAGATGCAACACAGAGCAGGTTTTGCAGAACAGAATCCATACAGGAAACAGAGGAGAAAGACAGGAAGTAAAGGAAAAGTAGAGTAAGTTGTGTTAACTTTCCAGCTTATACAGCATGTTTTTCATTCATACCATGCCTCCTGTGAAGGACAGTGCCTCAAGGATGTGCAAGAGCAACAGTTCCACTGAGCTCAGACAAACATTACATTTCACTACATGGTGATGTACCATCCAGGTCAGATGAAAGCAGAAATAAGACATACACGTATTCCCATAGGAATGCACATGCTCACTACTACAGCCTATGTGCTTGCATACCAAGGAGTATGCTTTGAGGTTAGAGTTATTCTTCCTTACATGAAAGCAGTGTTTGAATCTTTCCAAAATGTAACTAAATTTACAAGAAGCTCTTTCAGGATGGAGTTACTTCCCATCGATATGTTCCATGCAAAAAAGCAGAATAAATTTTTTATACCATTTAGAAGGCATGGATACAAGACAGACCCAAGTTACTATGGAAATTATCAAGGAAAACACTTGCTGTGAACCAGCTACTGTCTTTCAAGTTCCTCTTTTAGGGGTTGGTGTCCAAAAATCTAACCAACCAAACCCACCAAAACATAAAGAAAGCCACTTTACTGCCTGGTTGATCAAATTCAAGGTGCAAGACTATAAATTTCCAATCACTGATGTGCTCCACCACCTGATTCCAAAGTAAGTAGTCTAACCAGGGGGCTCTTGGCTCTTTTATATTATTACTTTATCAGCCTTGCCTGTTTCACTTCTCATTAAATGCTTAAATATACAGTCTGTAAGAGATAAAGAGTGAGAGGTGGGACAGAAGGAACAAAAGTCAGTAGTAAGGACACTGAGTAATTCTTTACACAGTAGTGCAACAGTTAGGACAGGAGAAAGAAAAGTAGCATCTAAGCTGATTTAAGACCGTCACTAATCCTGGCATTTGCCCAAACTAGGAACAGACCTGGAGTACCACAATGTTCTCATTTAGATGTCTCACAAAATGTAAGAAGATAAAGATGTATTAGTTTTTAAATGTGAAATGTTACCCCTGTAACTTGGAGGTAGTGCACAGGGCTGCATACGGACCTAACTTACCTCTAACTTTTGAGAACTTGTTAACCTCGTTACTGTACCAATTTCACCTTAAATCTCTAACATCATTCACCTAAAGACCTTCCATCTCCTTTTATTCCACATTCTCACCTAGTAACCTACTACATAGCTGTATTTTACTGTGTCATTTAAGAATAAAAAAAGTACGTATGAAGATTTGATTAGGTAACACTGAACCTGGAAAACTAATATACTGATCCTGACTCTTCAGCACTGAAACAGTTATTAGTTACCACTACTGACAAGATAGATAAGAAAATACATTTTAAGAGCACGCAGTGACAGCAGTGAAGAAGTTTGGGAAAGAAGCATGATACTGATTTCACACATAAAGAGCACTAACACTATCACAGGACTACTAAAAAGGGGTAAAGAACTAGAGAATTTTGTTCACTAAGACTTATGGATAATTAGAGCTGTAACACAGTATAAACCTGCTATTTTATTTGTAGATGCTTCTGTGTTCTCAGGTCTTGAGGAGGCCAAACTTAGGTCAACAGTTATAAGAGCCCTTTTATCTTCATATAGTCTCGCCTCTGGATTAAGATATGCATCTTCATTTTGCTTGTGCATGATCTTCAAGTCCGCTAAAGGAAAGGGGAAATAACTGTTTATAGCATTTTATTCTCACAAAACGCACGTTCACCCTAGATTCTCAAGAATACTGGGGTTTTTGATTAAATTCCACTTTTCCTGAGCATATCAGCTATGGGAACAGAAGATTCAGGCAAAGACAAGAATATAGAGGCTAAAGGTGAAATAACTAATAATTAGGTACTATTAATTAACTGATTAGAAGATTTATTTTGTTGCTTTTCTTTTGTCATGAATCATTCTTCACAACAAACCTTCTGTCTTCCAACCCAAAATGCTATTAAAAAGAAAGAGAAAGAGCTCAAAGACAAAAGTGACTGATAAGTCTATGTTGATATGCACATATTTAGAAACCACCCCTTCTTCTATCTCTTTAAAGCTGTAAAAGTTATTAACTTCTGAGTTAATACTGGTATTTAAGTCCTGAATCTCTATTTGATTACTATTAGGAGTAATAAATGCATTGAAGCGTTGAAGTGTATTTTGGTTTTCATGTCTTCAGTAATAATCCAGATGCAAATTTCTATCTGTAAGCAAAGCAACATTATCCAGCATTTGCACCAAAATTTACATGGTGCCTGAACAAAGATGTTAATTTCTACTGGTTTTGAAGTGTTACCATAATATCTAAAGGCTCATTTCAAAACAAAAAAAGTACTGCACAGTTTTCAGATTACCTTTTGAAATAGTGTTTCTGCTAATTATGTAGTCATAATGATAATTACGTAGTCATTTGAGCACACAGATTCCAGGAACTTCAAATTACATACCTCTCTGTAAAGCAGCCTTTGCACATATCAGTCTCAAAAGCTATTTACAGACATTTTTAAGAGGATATAAAGAAAAGTCACACTGCACAAAAAAGAGACATGGCAGAAAGCACGTTATGTTGCACGACATTTGACTCATAGCTTATCCATAATGCTGCCAGCTGTGGTGGGAAAAGTACTTTATATATGTAAGTCAGGAAAACAGGGTAAGAAGCTTCTTTCTCTTGGTTCCTCATTTACAGATAAAGTTCTCAGCAGAGCTCAGGCTAGTGTGAGACCTCTGCATTTCCACTCTCACCACTGTTAAAGAACAGAGAAAGAAGCCAAACACTTAAATGCAGTGCCCAAAGTCAGGCAGTACTAACACCTCTAATTGCTCTGGGAATAAATGCAAGCTTGGATCCTTAATGCAACCTTTTAAACTTGTAACTTGGTTACAAAATGTTTAGGAAAGCATTTAAACTTCACCTGCTACCCTCAAACTACACTATTAATTTTGCCATATGTTGCTCAGGTGTCATATAACTGAAACTAACTACTTATCCAGTAAGTGTTCCATGATTTACTAGAGGGGTGGATGAACAACTTGCCTGGATCACAGCTATTTCCCAGCTCACTATTCCCATCTTGTATAAAAGAGCATTTGGAAAAAACTAAGCCTTATAAAACATTACTGTTGACTGCTCTTTATATAGCCATTTACCAGCAATGTTACTTGTGGAAACTTAAATATTCCGCTTAGCTTTGTATATTTATACAAAACATGCTTCCATTTTCCATGTCACAAGTAGAGATTTCTAAGCCTAGAAATTACTTTTAAAAAGAAAGGCAATTTAAAACCTGTCCCTGGGACATGTTTAAATAAAAGTCTTCACAAGAGACTTTAGCATTTGTATTGCTGATGATGCTAAAAGCTTGTTTTCCTCCTTCTCCCTTTACGACTGCATTGCATCTTCACTTCCAGTTGACATATCCTTTGTTACCCGTTTTGTTCAAATTGTACTCTTTGAATGCTTCTACAGAAATGAAAATAATTACTGAAATATTCCTAGAGTGCACCTCCTCGAAACAAGTCTATTTGCCAATAAAGGGCTACCAGCGTTACAAAACAAGGAATAACACAGCTGAATAAAACAGCTCTCCCTTAGGAGAGCAAGAAAACATCAATCTTGAACAGACAACACATAATTCTGGCAAACATACCTATCAGATTTCCTTCTGCATCTCTGAGAGGAGCACCACCACCACCTCTTCCCCAGGGGTTGTAGTTCCTCATTTCTGCTTCTATCTTGGCTTCATAGCGCTCATTCTCCTCTCGCTCCTGCCTGCGTCGCTCCTCTCTCTCTCTTATCTAAAAACAAACCATAAAAATAGCACATTAGGTATAATTTTAATAAAAAGTTAACGGTGCCAATTGAATGCTCTCATTACCTATTTCCCTCATCTGTATCAAGCAAATCCAAACATTTCACTGTCTACGCTGCAGACAGGGCATTGAATACCGTTGTGAAAACATGCACTGACAGTTGTGCATAATCAGAGAAACATACAGATACACATTGTAAGACTCCCAAGTTCCAGAGATGTTCACATCTGACACTTGCTCTATATCCAAAGTTCCCTATCCCTGGATCTTTGATACAGATGTTTATACTGCCTGAAAATCAAACAGGCAAAACTGTATAACGCTACAACATTTGCTTCTCTCAACTTAGTATATTTTGTTTAATCGAAACTTAAACTAGAGATGACTCCTAAGAATAACTGCCTTAACAGAAGGATACACAATTCTATAACCATTCGTGAAACAGTTTTCTGCAGTAATACCATTTGATGTATGTATGTAACACAGAAATGTTCATACAGATTGTTCTTCCTTTTCTTCAAAATCAGGTTACATTTATGTAACTAAATCTCCTCATAAATGTAACATATACAAAGTGAACAGCTGTTAAAAAGTTCCTCTTCTATTTAGAGCTTTTCAAACGTTAACCTCTATTTATGTAACTAAAATGTATTACTGTATTTTTCTTAAGTTTGTATTTGCATTAGATAAGCTTACTAATTAGATAAATATAATTAATGTAAACCACTGTGAGGGTGATGAGGCACTGGAACAGGCTGCCCAGAGGAGCTGTGGATGTTCCATCGCTGGAAGTGTTCACAGCCAGTTGGGACAGGGCTCTGAACAACCTGCTCTAATGGTAGGTGTGTCTCTGCAGGAAGGGGTGGTGGAACAAGATGAACTTTAAGGTCCCCTTCCAAGCCTAACCATTCTGTAATTCTATGATTTCCCCTTATCAAGTAGTCATACAACTTCATAAGAGATATAATGAGTCAACAAAGACCCATCTAGCTCCTTCAACCATTTACAAAAATGGTCAGTCAGTCTTCCCAATAGGAAAAAAAAAGCAGAATACCTTCTGTTTGCTTTCAACCATAAGCAGCATAATAACTCTGAAAAACTATCAAGCAGTGTTTATTAGACCTTTATGTCAAATTGTGCAGTCTCTCATATGGCAAGATAAAATTTACTTAAGCCTATAGTAGGAAAATGCCTTTAGACAAGCGTATGTGCAGTATCAGACACTATTCCTAAATGTTTATTTAATTCTTTTTTGACTTTGCTTGGCAGCCTCTCTTTGTCCCAATGCACAATCATAATTAGAACTATAATATTTTTATAGCCATTATTTACCCCCAGCAAAGAAATATATAAAGAATAAGATAAGAAAATGTTAGGTGCCACTGAACTGGGTTCTAGCAAAATCTCTTCCAAAATAATATGCCTCATTATGGCCAAATACATTTTATAAACTTCCACAAGGTACAGTAGCAAAAGGCCACTAAGATGAGTAGGACATCTACTAGAAGAGGGGATTCGAAAAATTTGTCTAGTCTATCAAAAAGGAAGCTAAAAAAAGGTAAGATACCACTGCAAACACACTGGAAATAAACATCAGGAAAGCTTTTGAATTAGTGTCCAAATGAACATGAAGAACTTCCTGAAATTAGACTGTTCCTAATAATTACGGTACTAATTCTCAAAAGCAATCTTTCAGTAGGAATATCACAGCAATACAATCCATTGCCTTTAAGATGCAGGTTCTTATGTTTATGAAAATAATCATATAGAGCTACATGCCTGGAGCTAACATGTTTGCTGTAAATCTTAACACTCCCTCTGCCTCTGACAAAAAAAACTGAAGAGCTTACTGTCTGTTTGAAGAGCTAAAATGAACTAAAGCAGGGCTGAAGAATGTGAGGAAGGAAGTGATGAAGGCAGGGAGAATTAAGAAACTTTTAATGTGTAAGCTAAATAAAAATGTCTGAAAGACAGTTTAACTACAGTTAAAACCATTGGATGTCAAAAAATAAAAGAATAAAGAGTCAGAAGCTTTATCACTCAGTACCTGCTGTTGTAATTCTTGTTGGTAAGATAATGTTGGCTCCCTGGAAGGCTGTGTTTTTTCTTCAGAAAGTATTCCTATGCTTCTTTGCCCGTCTCCTGTATTCTTCTGTCCAATGTTACTTCTGAATTGAAAAACCACACATACAATAGGAAAAGATCACAGGGTCCAGATGGAGGGAATGAAAAAAAAGAAGAAAAAAATTAAAAATTCCTACCTGGAATACTGTTGTTTTCCACAGCCTGGCAGATTATAATCCCAAACATTTTTATAAATCCATATGAAAGTAGGAGTTCACTGAATTATTGTTTTATTGTTCAGATAGAAATCCTTCGTTGAAGTTTGAAAAGTTGTATTTAATACATTTTATTTCAAAGGCACGTCCATTCTCAGCAATATATTCCCAAAACAAAAAGATAAATGCAAACGAGGAATATGAATCTAAATAATACTTACACAGATTGCTCTACTGGGGCTTGACTTAAAGGAGGATCCAGATTAGGAGTGGGCTGCATTCCCATCATACCGGGACGATCTACACAGAGAAAATAAAAATACTATTTCAAATTTTGAATGCTCAGATATAAGTATTTGTCATTACTTAACAAGACAGAGTTCACTGCTCTAACTCTGTAAGTGCAGGATTACTAACAGGACTCTCAGCTTCTATAACAAATTTAGCTAATCCATAACGCCCTCTAAAGCACGAAATACAATGCCAAGGTACAAATCTGTTTCTTAAATTCAACTAAACCCCTTTGAATTTGACAAATTACTTCATTACCATATTCTAAAATGAAACAACAAAATTAAATAACTCACTTAATGGTAACACTTGTCCTCATGCCTTCCAAATGTATCACCTAATTGCAGTACACCTGTACTCTCACTGAAACAAGACCTGCAGCACCCTGCTACAAGGGGCTTGAAATTACTGTGCACGTTACTGCTCGTGTTCAAGGCAGTAAGAGATGCACCTCCAACAATTTCACTCTTCAAATACTAAGCACTAGCAGTATTCCAGTTTGTGTAACCAAGCTTTAGGACAACTTAACTCTCACATGTGAATTTCAAGTATTAGTTTCTTTAATACTCTAAATTGTAAGCCATTTTATCCTAGAAGTTATATTGATGCAAGGGTAAAAAACAAACACAAGCAAACAACAAACAACAAATGAAAATACACAGGAAAAAAAACCCAAACCAAACAACCCCAACAAAATCGCCAAACTTCCGTGAGTTAAAACTGTGGTCTGAAAAAAGGATTACAAAGAAAAGGTTAAATGTATGGAACTTTTAAATAAGGAAACAAACAAATAAATAAGTCTTTCTCAAACCCTAAGCTATTACATAACAAGATAGGGAGAAATTTACAATGGAGATAGGAAAAAAAAAATCCAAGCCCTTTTGCTCTTCAATCTCTAGCTTTCCTGAAATTCCCCAGCGCATACAAATACCATTCAAATAAAACTAATAAAAGAGTTATTTTTTTAAGGTTTTTTCCCCTCTTCATTTTACCTTTTCTATGAAGGTAGCATAACAAATTTTAAAAAGCATTTCTGCTTTTTCCTTTAAAAAAGCAAAAAAAAAGAAAAAAGATAAAAACACACACCACACAATCCAGTCCCTCCACACACACATCACAGTTGTTTCTTTCATTAAATCATTTTTGAAGCCGTCAAAGGACAGACAAAAAAAGGAGTCCTTAAAATACAAAGACAGAATTCTTTGTACATTATTTTAAGATATTTAATGTATTAATAAATGTTTTAAAAATATTTAAAATTATATCTGAAATTGTAGGAACACCCAAACATGTAATGAATTATGTTATTTATGTAAATTTATAAAATAATGTTTGAATTATCAAGATTATAATGAAAATTATAATGTAGGAGGAGTAATGGCTAAGTAGCTGAGACTAGAGCTTGTTCAAGTGATGAACAGGATTTCTGGAAGCCACAGCCCCTTTTGCAGTTGGAAAAAACTACTTCATTCAAAAACAGAAAGCCCTTTTCATTCAATCTAAAAAATGCGATTCATTTGCTGTCACTAGTTCTACTTTATTCATTATTTAATTAGATGAAAAGTAGTCACCTGAATCACTCTAACAACCAACCCACCTAAAATCAACTTACAATATGCAAGAGCAGGATCCAGAGGATTCCTAGCCCCATAAAAGTAATATGCATCATCATAAGGTGTTCTATAGTTGTCTGTCAGAACTGGTGGTGGAGGCGGTGGCAACGGTGCAAGCCTTGAAGAAAAAAGGGACACAACTCTTTGGTTTGCTGTACAACTGAAAAGAGATCATCAAAAGAAGAGAGGTGAGGAGGCAGAGGAGAGGGAGGGAAGGAGAAGGGAGGCGGAATGCGAGTAGAAAGAGAATTCATTATGAAAAAATCCTAATTTAGTTCAGCTGAAGACCTCTCATTAGTGCCGTGGAGAAACAATAAACCTCAGCAGGGAATTTACTTTCCCTTAGGGAATACTACATGAACCCACACTATTACAGAGATCTAAAGAGCATAAAACAAGCACGCCCTCTTTTACTGGTTCAGTTAATGACACTTGCTGGTTACATCAGCAACAGTAAATAAAACAAGGCAAGGATTAGTCTCTGGTCAAAGGGTGAGTAGCTCAGCACAGCTTAAGCCATGTGCCTGCAGCTCCTTCTCTCTCCCTGAACAGTTTAGTCTCAATTGCAGCATCTAGTGGATGCTGTCCTTGCCTACAGCACATTCCTGAGCTTAGCCCTGGGATATTGCTAACTGAAAGGGGCCAAACTCATGCCATACCAGCCTTCTGATGCCCAAGCATCCTTGCCCATGATTCAGTATTACAGACGTGGACATAACTTCCACAGCACAACCCTTATCCTTATGCAAATGTCCACTAAGAGGGAGTACTGTCTTCACAGATAATCCAGGCTCCACAGATTTTTCAAAATAAACTGTGAAGAAATTAACATTTAAATTTTATTCCAGTGCAAAGTAGTTAGTTTTCTGTTAATTGTCAAAATATTATTTCTACCTCCACCAGTTCCTCGGAGAAGGATCAGTAGCATCACTGAGCTCTACCTCAGCAGTAATAACATGCTTAAAAACAATCTTATTTAATGTGCAAAACAAAAATGTGACGGTGAAGCACCTGGGAGCTGCTATTTCACCAAGAGTGCTGGCTAGACTCCTGTGAAAGTCTTTATCACTCTGAAAGTCTTCAATCACTAGAGAGGCTGAAGGGGCAGGCACTGGAGTTTGGAAAGCCACTCTAGGCCTTTCAGGAGGTACTTTCTCTTCAGAAGCTCTTGCTGTGAAGCCAAACTGCTTCAGTCTATTTGGCTAAAGGAGGGGAAAAAAAAATACGTAAGAGAAAAAAAGAGAGTAAACAAAACAAAACAAAACAAAATTGTTATCTTGTTATTACTAGGAAATATTCTGACCTTCCATTTAGGTTGTTTTAAACACTTCACTGGGTCCCAACTAGCTGTTTAAATTTCTAGTAATTGCAGTTTTATCTCCCAGTGATTTACTGGAAATCTAATACTACACGGAAATCTAGGAAGTTTATCACAGACTTACAAAAAATAATCTCTCTGGCAAGTTTCAGGAAGTACACAGTTCTATCTAATATCCAGAAAAAAGAACATTTCTGTCTGTAGTACAGGTTACGTACAGCTGCCAATTTTCTGCACTCACAGAATTCCCAAGACTGAAATAGCTCATAATCAGTAAAAACCAAAATCAAATACATACTGAGACTTTTTCCAATAAACATTTCCTTGCAATACCATTATTTCATTTTTTAAGTTCCTTGGATTTTAATGATTTTTTCAGCCACAACAATTGTGAATTTTTGGGGCGGTTCTTTTTAAAAATAGAAGTAGCAAATGTTTATTGTTAACTGGCAGCCTCAGAAGAAAGTCAAAGGCAACATGCAAATGATGGAAAGGCATGCAAGTCAGTTAGTTTCAGAACTACCTTATCACACCCAGAAAGCCCTTACAGCAACTGCTATGCATAACTATTTTAATGTTTGCTTAAATAAGTTAACATAATAGAAGAATGGAAACAAATCATACAATGCATAAGTAAAACAGAGTTTGTTCTGAGTTTGCTGGTCCTAACATTGCAGTGCTTCAACTAACATGCATTCAGAGAAAGTAATACCAGAAACCAGCTAATGATTAAGTATCTAACAGCAAATCATATACCCTACAATATGGAAGTATTTCAGCAAAATATTAAATCTTTACCTCCTCATCACTTAGCTGCAAGACAGTATATACAAAGCAGTTAGTACTCACCAATCATGGACTACAGCATTAAGATAAAAATTCTCAAAATCTACTTGATTTCCTTACAACATTTAACTTCAAATTTCTAGATGTGAATACAAAATTAGCTAACAGATAGAAACTACAGCAATTGAAAATTATAAAACAGTCTACAGACTATTTTTTTAACTTGTCTTTTCAAATCCAGTGTCTTGAGCAGGAGAACATTCAAAAGAGCCTTTCTCACTACCAACTTTAATGTGAATTGTTCCCAAAGTGCCCCAGATTTCAGCTCTGTAGCTAATTTCAGATGTGACTGTGGTACTCAGTTCATCCTGGGGACTGTTTTATTTTAAACAAGCCATATATACAACAGTCTACATTTACAGATTCTTAATCAGGCATTGCTATTTAACCAACCTGTAATTAATCAAGAAATCCACCTAATTAGAATCTCCCCCTGAGAGGCAATTTAAAGCTAACAGTGACTGATGCTTAATGAATGCAGCAATTCTACTTAATTGAAGGCTTTCAGCTAAATTAGTGGTTTTAAAACACTATGTATGCTCTGGACTTGCTCTAGATATAATTTTGTTCCTACAACAGGCACTCTTGAGATGCATATGGTATACTGAGTGCTGCAGCACAGCATGCTTCTGCATAGTCAGCTTTGATTAGACAATACTGTTTACACTGACCTTGCAGCCTGCTGAGCCAAAGGACCCAGCATCCTCTGCTCAGTTTTCTATCTTTTCCTGCCTGGCTCCCAGCTGTACACTCCATCCCTCTTCCCTTTCACCACCTGAATCCCTGATCAGCCAGCTGACCTCTCTAAGCCAACTAAAGCAGCAAAAAGGATTCAGATTTTTGCCAGCTAACCAAGCTGTCACTAATGCTCACTGACGAGCAGTCACTAATGCTATAGTGCTGACAACCTACTCCTTGATATATGCTAATCAAAATTCTTAATGTAATCATCACCTTACTAAGGAAACGGAGACAGCAGCAACTCTGCATTAAGTTTTACAAGGAACACGATATTAAATATCTTGCTTTTAGCAAAATCCTATTAAAAGATACTTGTAATCCTGAACACTCTATTGAATCATTTAAAAAACAATTACAAATTTGAAATTAAAAATTTAGTGAAATTAAAAATACAGTGAAATCAACTCATCTGCAAAACAACTGGATTTTTTCTTAATAGAAAAAGAGGAAAAACTTTCTGCAGCATACTTTACATTCCCAAGGAAAGGTTACTACTGTGTGCATGTAAACAGGGTAGGAATGGATGTCAAGTATTTTTTCCATGATAACCACTGCCTGTACAAAATTTCCACTTTGTCACTTCACAAGAAAATGTTCAATAACTTCCACAAAAATATTTTCCTCTTAAGCTGAAAGCATGTGTAACACAGTTACAACCTGTGTTGGTTTTGGCTGGGGCAGAGTTCACTTTCTTCACAGTGGCTGGTACGGGCTGTATTTTGGATTTGTGCTGAACACAGGGTTGATAATATAGCGATGTTTTTGTTATTGCTGAGCAGGGCTTACAGAGAGCCAAGGCCTTTTTTGCTTTTCGTACTGACACACTGCTGAGGAGACTGGGGGTGCATGGGAGGTTAGGACAGCTGCCCCCAGCTGACCAAAGGGACATTCCAGACCATATGACATCATGCCCATTATATGAAGTGGGCGAAGAAGAAGGGAGAGATGTTCAGAGTGATGGTGTTTGTCTTCCCAAGTCACCGTTACATGTGATGAGGCCCTGCTCTCCTGGAGATGTCTGCCCATGGGAAGCAGAGAATTAATTCCTTGTGTTGCTTTGTTTGTGTGTGCAGTTTTGCTTTCTCTATTAAACTGTCTTTCTCTCAACCCACAGGTTTTCTAGCTTTTATCCTTCCTATTTTCTCCCCAGTCCTACTGGTGGGGGAGTGAGCAAGCAGCTGTGTGGGGCTTGGCTGCTGACTGGGGTTAAACCATAACTCAGCCTTATCATCCTTAGCTTCAATTTTGTTCTGTGCTGATGCCTTATTAAAAAAAAACAAAAAAAAAAAACCAGCATTTATCATTTTATAGAAGCCCTCCAGAGTTTTGTGACTAAGCAAGAAAAAAGGAAAAAACTGTACAGGTGAAAGAAAGAAAATCCAAGTTTCTTACCGTCTTTTCTGGGTCATGAGCTCCAGAAGCAGCAACTAAGAGCTCAAGTTCCTTCTCACTGTTTTGTCAGGGATTTTTTAAAAAAAATTATCACATCAGAAAGCAGTAACAACTATACTCATTCTTTCAAAGCACAGAGCTCACAATTCTGTAGCTAAAATAACTCTGAAAACACAGGATAACAGAAGACAACGATCCACTTGATTTCTTCTGGAGTCAGTGAACGAAACTGTGTAATATTTTAAATAAACAGAACTCTCAAGAAGTATCTGGCTATCATCTATTCCACCTAATAAAAATCTAACTACCATAAAAGGACAAACCTGTTTACTACAACTTTTCAGGACATTTCTTAGAAATTTATTTTTATTCACATTCAAGAAGTTAATATTAAATACATTGAAATGAATGATTCAAAAGTGCAGCAAATACTATTTTGTAATTTCTGGGCTCAGGCTTGTTCAGAATGTACAATTTTTCATCATAGTGAAACTGGCAGTACTAACTTATTTTTAATTCCTTATCCCTTCACTAATATCACTGTTTTTATGTATCCATACTGTTATTCAGTAGGCAGCTGCTAATAGGTAAGGAAGAAATTAATATTTCATTATTCTGCACAAGCCACATGGTCAAGTGCTTCAAAAATAAGAGATTACCTTCCTAAATTGGAGGGCAAAAACAAGATTAATACTCATCTTTGCCAAGCAGTTAGACACTCCTGTATCAGCAAAAAAGATAACTTCAGTTAAAGCTTCTTTACCGCAAAGAAACTATAAATAATTTTTTAAAAATGAAAAAATATCTTGGTTTTCTTTATCCCATTGAGAGCTGGTGAATTTGTTCATTAAAAAGCTCTCACGGCAATGAGTTTAATTGAATGCAATATTACCTAGCTACTTGGAATTCCTCAGTTAAGAGTTTTTCTCTTACCACATTGAATTAATGAAATGCCTCTAAATTCCAGCTGCTATCTTTTAAAAATATAGTAACTTTCCATTACCGTCTCTTATTTCGCTGTTGCTCAGCCATCTGCTCCATTAGCTCTCGCCTGTATTTCTCCTTTCTCCTTTGGAGAAGTTCTCGGTCGTGACCACCTAATGGAAATGACCACACACTTGTGTAAATGCTCCACAAAATACACAAAAAGTACTGAACAAAACCACTGAATTTCAGTCAGTTTAAAACCTGAAACATAGCAGAGCATACAAACAGTGGATCTTTACTGATTAAAAAAACCAGATAGTTTTAATATACAGTTTGTTTGGAGTATGATGATCCAAACTACTAAAATGTTCATTATTATTATTTTCCCAGTTTGCCTGGTTTTGTATAGTCAGGAAGCTACAAATTTCAAACCTATGTGATAAAACGGTAACTAAAAAAAGTTAGGGGTTTTTTTTTCCCTCCAATGCACAACTAAGGAAGATACACTACAGCACTCCAAAATTATGATGCACTGCTCTGGATACAAAATGAAAGCTAAAAATGAAGAGAGTCAAGCCTACAGGGAGAGAAACAGCGATAACATCCCAAATGGATTTTAAGGAACCCAAAAAACTTTCAACTTTTGATAGTACCTTCACAATAAGGGTGGAGGTCTGCTATTATTTTACAAACAGAAGCATAAAAACCATCATCACCACTTTCTGTACAGTACAACTATCAGACAGAGAAACTCCTAACATACTCCATACCCAAAGTTACTGTGGATCTCTAGTAGAGTGGACCTGAACAATAAAGAGAAGAAAGCTGGAAAGAAACAAAATAGAAGCCAAAACAACAACAAAATCTGATGCATGACTGACTGACTTTTTTATTCCATTATTGTGCTGGAACTATAAAGTGACCAAAATATGCAAACCTCACGGTTTGTGATTCTGGGAGAGTCTGAAATCACTTCTCATTTCCAAAAATTTTAGGTTTTAATTTACTTAATCTTCATACAACATAGTTAACAATACTCTTCTAACCAGAACTGCCAGGAATGCAAATTCCCAACTCTGTGTACTCAAGTTATCATAAATGAGATGACTGGACAGACCAGAGACTGACCATCACAACACCACTATTTTAATGCTGCCTCTAAACAGTTCAAAAAAATTTTACCTGCCACCTATAGCACTGAAGATCAGGTAAGTTCAAATGAAAAAATAAACAGAAATTATTCTGACAACTGTTAATCAATTCTTTCATAATTCAAACCTAGCTTGACTTCAAAAGCTCCCATCTAAAGAACTACTGCTGCAGTTTGTTTATTCTTGCCTTATAATTTTCTGAATTCAGCTAGGAATGCTATGCCTTTAACAGTATTTCTCTTGAGTGCACTCCACACTAATGTTCCCTGCTAAATTTTATGGCTACATTTAAGCAGCAAGAGATGATCAGAATCATTTGTTCTTGCCCAAGGTTGTGAAAATTACCATTTTCCATACTTCTGCAATTAAAATTCACTATAAAGTTGTGTCTTTAACAATACAGAGGTTAAGATTTCTCCTATGCTTCATTTTGTAAAAAAAAAAAAGAAAAAAAAGTAATTACATATCTGGGCCTTAAACCGTTAATGATATTTAAGAAGAAACTTGAGCTCTTCAAAATTAATCAGAAAGTCCTGTTACCTTAAGGGGGAAAATCTGTTCTTCTTTATTTTTTTCCATATCAATAATATTTATTTACAGGGGGGGGGAAGCTAATTTTTCTAGTTTTTAATTATTCACAGAGAAAAATAATATGTGCAAGGAAAGTTTAGGAAAGTTTAAGCCCGTGTCATGAGTTAGGTTCTCATACATACCAAGAACAAGGCCTGTCCTATAGCGCATTTCAGCTGCAGACCTGGCCTCCTCATTAGCTGAAGAACGAATCTGTACCTGATTTCTGGCAGAGGTAAAAAAGAAAACCGAATGAACAAACCCAAGAATTTCCTTCACAGTCTGTGTGAAACACGATAGATGCACTTATGTCACTGTGTGACACATTTACGACAAACAGCTTTCCTACAATCCAAAGAAACAGCAAGAGAAAAAGAAACTGCCTGGCAAAAAGGTGTTTCTCACAGTTCCCATTTGCCTGTGGTTTCTGCAGCCATCAGCAACACTGACTCAGTGGAGCACTTCAACCATGCTGACAGACTGAATGGTGCCAGTCAAGAGTTCCTGTGAGGGCTTTACAAGCGTTCTGCTTCTGCCTCATACACTTAGATCACTTTAGGACTCGCAAAACCAAGACAAGAGGAAAAAAAGAAAATTTAAAACTGCTATCAAAAAAGGATTTCCCATTATATGAATCAATAAAAGTCTTCAGTTGGAGAAATAGGTGATCTATTGATTCAAAAAGAAAACTGACATGCAAGCTTCAATGGCTGTTCTCAAAGGAAACACGTTTTTCTTGTTATACTAGCTGAAGGAAAAACTATCAGCCATTTCAGATAACATATCATGGATTTTAAATTAACATTTTCCTTTCACCATGATTTTGTAGTGCAATTATCAGAAAAATGCACAGTATACCACACCTAGGATCTCCAGTTCTTGAGATCTGCCACACACATGCTCTCTCCTTTAATTCATCTTCATAATCCACAGGTATGTCTCTTACTATTCCATTCAGACAGGGACTTAAAGAAACTGAAAATATTCAGCTATGCTTGCCTAAAACATCCAATCTGAAATGGAAGGTCCAGCAGCTTCGTGCAAATGTATTTTCAGCCTGACTGCACACTGGACAGCGGAACTAGTTCTGAAAATATCACAAAAATTTCTAAAAGTAATTCACTTTGCTAGCACAGTCAAGTCAGCTCTCTGTCTGGAGCGTGAATTCCCAAGCCTGCTTCCATGCAACCTTTAACTGGTTAAGAGCTGTGAGAGCTAAAGGGCTTTTGACACTCACACTGCATTAATTGTAACAGATCTTGCAGCAATCAATCCCCAGGAGCTAACAAAGTCTACAGCAGGTTTTGGTGTACAGCTACTGGGCCAGTCTGGTGAAACAACCAGTTCAGACACGAAAAGCTTTTTTAACGACGACCTTCCCTTCACTTTGCACCTGATAGAATTTAAAAGGGAGAGGGGACTTTTGATCAAGATAAAAGGCAACACGGTGAATACAAAAATTTAGGAGCTAAAATTTGAGTTATCTACGTATGTAGTGATATGACTGAAACTTCAAGTGACTTCAAAGATGCCAAATATTGTTTGAACACAAGGGAGCAGGTCCTAAAACGATCTGGGGTAGCTGAATTTATAAGGTTTTCTTGTCTTGCAAAATAAAAACTCTTTATTGTGGACTTCAAGTTATCTCAACAAAATAAGACAAGAGTGAAAATGAAATATTTCAATGAAAAATAATGTACCCAACAAATGCTAACAAAGTTGTATATTTCCCAGAGCTGGACAGAGCCATGGACTTCCTATTTAGCAAACAAAAACCCTAAGTAAACATGGAAAAAGCCCCATCTCTTACCTAAAAAGAACCACAGCTCTTCTGTAATTTAAATAAAAGTCCATAATCAAAGGCCAAAAGAAAGCAAGCAGATTATTAAACATTGATTTGGCAGCATAACAACCCAGAAAAACAACATGAAAGAATGACATCCACCCTCTTGGCATAACATGATCTCCTTTCATGATCAAGCTCATCTTTTTGATGATGATCAATCATCAATCAGCCCTACAAGGCTGGAGACGTAAGACAAATGCAGTCAGGAAAGAGAAAGCCTAGTCCATAGTGTAATGAAAGGATGCAGGGAGGAAGCAAGGAAACAAACCTTGGGATTCAAGAGGCAACCTTTTTTTGTTGAAAGCATCAAGTTTAGCAAGGCAGGCCCAGACATATCAGTCCAAATCAATCAAGAAGCTGTTGTCTGCTGTTCATGGGACAGACCTGACTGCTGGCAATGGATTAAAGCATTCCACCCTTAAGAACTAAAGTATTTTGCAATTCTTCTCACTTCCCTGTCACCATTTCTATTTGTTGAAATATGTCACGGTCCTTGTGCCTCTGTCAAAACAGAAACCTTTCTGAAAAGTCCTGTTATGAACATCTGCCTCTCCAAACTAATAAACCCCATGTAGGAACATAAGAACTTTAGCACAGAAAACAAAAATATGCCTCCTTGTGAATTTAGTTGCTGTCATGAATCACGTGTGTTCTGGAAAAGTTGACTGTGCCTGAAACAAAAAAAAAATGCTAACTCTTCAGAAGCTGAGCCATCACTAAGAGATGTATTTCTCCTTGAAGAGAGACTGAATATAGTTCATAGGAGGTTAAGTGGAGCTCCTTGCAAAGGAGAAAAAAGTACTAGATTAAAAAACACATTTAAAAAAAAATACTGAAAATTAATTTTTTATAAAAATTCAGTAATAGAAAATACACCAACAAAACCCCAAGGAACTTTATGTACAAATTTAAGTTCAGGCCATTCAGGCGGTGTTTCAGCAACTGCTTTTAAGAAGATGCACCAAGTTTGCCAATAGCGAAGATAACACTATCTTCTGTATTTTCTTTTAAATGAAAACTGGAACTAAAGCTATTTCAGAGGCTTCTCCAAATAAGCAATGAATTGCCTAGTGATATATTGGTCACAGATATTTACGTAAGCACCATCCACATTTTCTGGAATAATTAAAAACTAGTATACTTCTACTCAACATGATGTCTACTGTTGGTTCAAACACTATGCTTGCTGATCTTTTATCTACATAATTCTGTATAAATTCTTTGAGAAACAAAGTAAACAGTTGTCAAATGGTTATTTTTATATTTTAAATATCAGACTCTGTGCCCAACTGCATTAGAAACAGTGGCAAACAGCTACCTAATAAAAAGAGGACACTCATCCTTCTGAGTATGAATTAACAAACAGGATTAAACTTGCTGTTAGTCTCAAAAATATTTTGGTTATCTTTGTTAGACATCAAGTTTAGCTTCTAATATTTTTCTTTCTGAAAAACTGTAAGACAAGCCGATCCTACCCTAGAAACCTTCTTTGCTCCTCTCTACCGACATTACAGTACAGGATGGAACAAATTTTCTCTTCTCTGAATCTCATTCAGCAGAAAACAGGCGGTCTTATTCCTCTTCTCTATTTAACCACGTTTTCCATTTGCTAGTCTTTTTCAGAAACACCATATAAATAAATATGTGCTTTTAAAAGCACATCAGAACACAGTCTGAAACTTTAAAATAACCCATTTATTTAGTCTGCCTCTTGAAAAAGCTTCCAAACATTTCATTTTCTCCACAGATCTAATTCCTTTAACTTTTTTTCTGATAAAGACTATCAGAGCTTTTGAGAAAAAAATATTTTAATTCTAGTGGCATTTGAAACTGGAAGAGAAGCATGAGATCACTGAATTAAAAAAATTCTTTTAAAGTAGATAAGCGTTTTAGGGTTTTTTTTCCCCTCCCCCCAGTTGTTAATTTGCAGTACTATCCAGAAAATTATCCCTGTAAACAACAATTCAAAAATCATTTAACAAGTTCACCAGCAACTAACAGTGAAACATGACTGCAATATTTAACATGGTTGAATGTAGTACAGTTTGCCTTTGTTTTTCCTAGAAGCATTAAATCTAGAAAAAAAAAGTCTTTATTTTGCCTTACAAAGAGAGGACATTGGTGTTTCCTTCACTTGAGGCAACTGCAGGAAAATAATTCTGGCAACAGGAAAAAAAAAATCTACAACACTCATGTTCCCAAGATCTGGAAAGTGAACAAATGAACGCCCTTAGAGCCCTTTTTAAAAATTCGTTTACAATAAATTAACTGATTTATTTCATTTGAATTTAGCTATATAAAACACATCGCTTTCAAGATTGGTACTGTTTTGTACCACAACCCATCTGGTTTTGAAAGCAACCAGTTCTTGTAATGGGATAACCAAAGCTGGCCAGACTGCCAAACCTTGAATGATCGGGAAGGTTATCCTTTTTTTTTCTTTTAAGTGAGTAAGATAGAAGAGGAAGATTAACAATTTATGTCAAAGTAACAAAACTCATGTGTCAGTTAACACAGTAAAGACTATTTAATACTGAACAGTACATAATATCAGTTTTCCTCCTGAATTATTTATCTGAGACACCCTCTTTTATTTGATTTGGGCTTTCTTAAATGTTTATTCAACCTGTGCAGTTATTAGAGAGATTAGTACCTATTAAAACCATCAGGATTTGATTCAACTACACGAATGTTTTAAAGCCTGTCATTTACCAAGACATGGAGTAAAAAAGAAGATTTTTTAAAAACACATTTTTGCATTTCATATACAAAGTGGCATGTACCAAAAACTGAAGCTCAATTTTTGAATTTCAAAAATTCCAGTTTTGGAATCTGAACTGAAAATTGACTTGCTGTAACTCTTACAGACTAAGAAAACAGAAGTGACATTGGATTTCCAGTGCAGGTGTTTGCTCTCAAATACTAACATGTTTTCTGGGAAACCATTCTTCATAAAAATTAATTGTGTCCTGCTTCTTCTAGGGTAATTTCCCTAGTATCCTTGGATTGCTATAATATACACAATGCTCCTTAACCTATGATGTATAGTCTTAGGTACTGGTCAAATTGTTCAACACTTTTTCTATAAATTACTGCAAAGTTCCTTTTTGTAAGTAAGTACAAAAATCCTGCTTTCACATGGGAATCTTGTCTAATTCCAATGACAGCAAACCATGGCTGTCAACGAACACTACGGAAATCAAGGAGAAAAGGGAATTAAGAATACCTTTCAGCATGAAAAACCCGGGGAGTTCTTCTGTCATAGGTGCTTTCACATTTAAATCTAGGGTCCATTTCTTCACTTATCTCAGGATCATAGTCCACTCTGTAGTATCTTCTACCAAAATCACGGTCTTCATCAAGTCTGTGATGCTTCCTAATAGGAACTACAGACTGGCTAGCAAATCCATTGGGAACATCCAAATCTCCATCAAGCCTTTTATTTAACAGTCGACTTCTTAATTCAGCCTCATCATCTAACCTGTGGTACCTGTCTTCCTCCAGCCATCTCTTATTATTTTGCAGCTCTTCATAATCTTCTGTAGAAGTAAAGGCATCCTTCTTGGGAGGTTCTGCACCTGTATTAAAGGGCTGTGCTTCTGTATGTAGTTCCGGCTGGAGCCTGGTAACAGCAACATGTTTTATATTCCTGTTCATCTCATTCTGTTTATTGGAAAAAAAAACGTTAAAAGATCTAAATATAAACAAATAACACTGAGTAAAACCTTAGTTTTGTATTGATTCAAACAATCCCTAAACAAGTACTGGAAGAAAAGTAAGAGGTGAGCAAGGAAAATACTTCAAGAAGTGCTTAAAAGCTAGTGTTTTATTTATTTTTCTTGAGATTAAAAAAGGTACTCTTCCTTGTATCTAATGTGTTTCAGAAGCATGGCTATCAGTCCTGGACAGGTCTTTTACAAACTCTAATTTGACCTTCAGTTTCAGAGGTGCAAATAATCAAAAAACCACTTGGAACTTTACACCTCACCAAGAGACTAGATATCTTTATGATATCTTTATTCTATCCAGGCTCAGGCATACTTCTTCCCTATCAGCACAACCTTTTAACCTGACCATTTCTTAACCTATTTCTTTGCTCTCCAGGAGAAATCACTATGAGGAAGGATAGTTTAGTAAATAAAAAGTAAACCTATGACACACTGGACCAGAGTTCAATACACAGTTCTAACAAACAGCAGAGGACCCTCAGCAGCGATGACTGCTAACAACAACCTGGGCTGCATTACTTGTTGCCAGCAGGTCAGGGTAAGTGATCCTTCTCTGCTCAGTATTTATTCAGTATCCAGATTCTGGTGTAATGTGCCCAGTTTCTGCCCCTGGATACTGATGAACTGGAGAAAGTGCAGAGGATGGCTACTGAGATGGCATTTGAGCTCTTAAAGGAGAAGCTGGTAAAGCTGGGTTTATTCAGCCTAGAAGAAGGTTAAGGAGCATTTGTATGGGGCAGGAGGAACTAGAAATTGTAGTCTCTATCTAAAGGATAGTTACAGAGATGACAGAATAATGGTTTTCAAAGAATCAAAAGTCACAAGTTGCAGCAAAAGATATTCCAGTGGGATACAAAGGAATAGAAGTTCAGATCAAGAAGTTAAAGCAATGGAACAGGTTGCCCAGAGGAACTGTGCATTCTTCATCCTTTCAAAACTCAACCAGATAAGGCCTGGCTAACCTGATCTAACCGTGAAGTTAACTCAGCTCTGAGCAGAGGATTGGACTATATGACTTCCAAAGGTTCCTTGCAACTGAAGTTTATCCTAGGATTATCTAAATTGTTGGATCAAACTTTTGAGGTCATATGTGTTATTTGACTCTCACTCCAAGTTAAATATCCCTCAGAGAAGGCATAGCCTCAAAACATCACCAGGCTTTTTTCCTGTTTGTTCTTTTATGACAGCAAAATTGCTTCTACACAAGAATAATAAAAATATAACTTAAAAATGCAACTGGATGACAAACAAAGCAAATAGGAAAAACCTCGAGTCCCTAAATAGTTTCAATAGACAAGTTACATACGGAAACATAAATGCCTAAACATGTAGAAAAAATTTAGAAATTTACAGACTCAGTTACACAAACACAAGCAGCATTTTTGCCAGTTTCCTAGGGATCACTGTTGTGTAGTACTCCAACCCTTCAAGAAGTCAGTTAAGAAACAGATATTGAATTTCGACATCTAAAGAATGCCTGAATCCTGCCTTATACATGTCTTCACAGACTGAAATAGTTTTTTACATGTCTACATAACACTCCAATGCACTTGGAGGAAAAGATCTTTAAATAAGATCTTTACATAAGAAAACAATCCTTCGAGAAACAAGAAACATTCTTCTGGACAGAAATTAAAAATACATGGGTATTTGCACTTGCCAACTGCTGAAAGAAAGACAATAAACTTTCAGATGTGTTGAGTACAAATACAAGGCACTTCATGGAATGACACAGTTCTCATGTTAATGTACACTTCAGAATGTCTGTATTAAAAAGAAGTGGAAGGCCTTTTTAAATCAAACCTACATTAGGGAGTTCCAAATTATTAAACTGAGGCAAAAATATTTTAAAATTGAAATTTACCCTTTCTAGAAAAGATTTTATTATTTGCAAGCAGATTTCTCAGATCAATATAGCTTCCAGATTACTAAAGCAAAGGGTCTTACAACAATGTTAATTAGACCTAAAAATCCCACTGGCTGTTGAACTAGTTTGGGATAAATTTCTTCATAGTAACTTTTATGAGGCTCTGCTTTAGATTTGTGATGAAAATGATGTTGATAACAGAGGGATAATTTAGTTCCTACTAAATAGCGCTAACACAGTGCCAAAGGCTTTCTGGTTCTCATGGTGTCCCGCCAGCAAGAAGGCTGTGGGTACAAGGGAAGCTGACCCCAACTGACCATAGGAATATTCCACACTATGGGATGTCATGCTTAACATATAAAGATGGGGAAAGGAGGAGGGCAAGGGGACATTTAGAGTGATAGCATTTGTCCTCCCAAGTCACTGTTACACATGATGGAGCCCTGCTTTCCTGGGGATGGCTGAACACCTGCCTGTCCGTGATTTTGCATTCCTTGTGCACGTGCAGCTTTTGCTTTACCTCTTAAATTGTCTTTAACTTGACCTACAAGTTTTCTCACTTTTACCCTTCTGCTTCTCTCCCTCATCCAATGGGGGTGAGTGTGTGTGTGTTCCTAGCTGCTTACTGCCATACAAATCAAAGGCCTCCGATCAGAATGTGATTTCAATTATGCACGTGCCTAGTTCCCTTTCAGTAGTAAATTTTGTTAATTTTTGTTTTTTATTCACAAATGCACAGCATCATATTCTGGACAGTTGCCTGCACTTGCCTTGCTTTCTCATGAACTCAGCAGAGACTAAGGAAAAGAACGTCTGCAAATAAAAGCTATGTAAGGTTCAATATTTTGTTCAAAGAGACAGCTTTTTTGGCCACCACTTTTATCACCAAAAACAACCCAGGGACTTGCTTTAGACACACAGAAGAATGAAAGCATCTACCTATGACACAGACATGATGGAAGCAGGAATCAAGAACCGTACTGTATGAGTTGTAACCAGGACCTCCTAGACACATTAATAAAGCTGGCCTCACTGAACAACACAATATGTCTTACTTTGTACATCTTAATCATTGGTAAGACTGTAAAACTGTATTACCTCTCTGGTTTTCTTCCCTAATTTCCTTAGCCTTTCATTCCATTCTTCTTTATCCCTGAGATATTGATTGTACTCCTTGTTTCTTTCAAGTCGTAATTTCTCCTAAAATAGGCATTGAAAAGGGCATCATAATTTTGCATCTGTAGCAGCTTTTAACTTCATAGAACTGCAAGTATTAAATGAACACGTGCAAACTGTGTGTTTGCCCACCCCCCTCCCCCGTCTTTGTGATGTACAAATAAGGTTTGAATTGCTTTGAGGTTTTTTTTCATTCTTGAACATGGTACTTCCTTTAATCTGAAATGTGTAAGCAGAAGTCAGCTCCTTGGGCATGAAGTCTAGTCCCCAGTGGCATTACTGTAGATCAACCAGTTAGGCTTCCTCCTCCTAAGCCTATTCCAAAATTTTCCAAAGACTCACTCCTTTGACAATTAGAAACTCACTTTCTAATTTCCAATCTGAACGTATTTACAGGTGATTTCTATTCATATGATTTTTTGTGCGTGTTAAGATTAGTTGTGACTTGCCCTGCTCATAATGAAAACAGGACAACAAATACATGTATAGACAAGATGTGTCAGCTATAGCTTAGGGTATAACATGAACTGTGAAATTCACACAAGCAGTTAAACTTGACTTGAACTTGACTGCAAAAAGAGTCAGAAGTGCAAAGAATGCAAGGAAAACCAGAGAAAAAACTGATCCGTCCACATTGTCCTAGCTGCTTTTCCAAGGTGACGATATTTATAACCAGCTTGCTCAGGTCCAAAACTAAGCATGAACTGCACATCAATAGCCTAATAATATATGAAATACAAGTCTCTGGATAAAGTAAACTCTAACTCATATTATTCCTTTGTATTAGTACCTTGTGCTTAGAGTATACTACCTCATTCCAACCATCACATAAATGAAAAAAAGAGAATGATATTACAACCTTACAAATCATGTTCTCTTCCTCTGCAGCATTTTCCAATTAAAAAAGCAAAAGGTATTAAAAGAATCTGAACATTCCACGTAAATTTACTTTCTCATGAAGGAATTTCAAAAAAAAAAAATTTATACCTTAATCACCATGGAAATACTACTAATAGATTTGCAAATCATACTAATAGTTGCCAAAATTGTTTCGTTTGGTTTTGGGGTTTTTTTCCTAAAATTTGTGTCTATAGGTTTTATAACAGTGACAATATAAAACATGCAGACAGCCATGAAAGCTGCCTGAGAGGCATTTTCCAAAGCTGAGAAACAAGCCTTGTCTTTAACAGGTGGCAAAACACTAAGCAGAAAATTCAATATGCTGTGTGACTGCACATTTGACCTAAGAAAGGAAACCAAAATGCAAATGTTAACCTCTCATCACTATCTGCCCAGAAGCCCACTGTTTAGCAGGGCACAGTGTGACATCTTCTGGCAGCTTCTAGGTTCTGCAACAGCAATAAATGGGTAAAAAGCATAAAAAAGATAAAACAAAACTGTACAGACAATCTCAACAGATGTTGAGCTGCTATGATACAAAACCATCAATGATCAGGCATGTTCCCAGTTCAAATACATCTTCAATTTCCACAGAATTAATCAAAGGTACTTTATTTTCCACTGTTTCAGAACAAATACTTGCAAGGGTTAACACAAAGGTCACGAGAACCTGAAGATAAATTCAGTACAAGAGCATGTGGCCACTGAGGAGCAGTCCTTTCTCCTTTCTGGGTATTTTATTCTTGCTGCCTTCTTTTTACATTCATGAAACTTGGAGTTTGGGGCTTTTTCACATGAGCAATTTTCACTTATTTGAGTTCTCACCTGGCTCCTCATATGGCCAAACCATCACAAGAGAGGCAGAAAGTATAAGTAAGCACAGCAAAGGCAAGACCAACACATCCCAAAACAGAAGCCTTGCACCAGGTTACAGTGACAGCTAGTCCCAGACACAGATTAACAGTGCACCCTCTAGCCAACCCAGGTTAAAAAAAAAACCAAAATCAAATAAAACACCCAGGAGTGCAAACGTCTGGTCCTCCTCCAGCAACACAGTTTGTATTTCTGCCTTGCATCTCCACTGTGGTTTGACCAATCCTAATAACCAACCAGTGGCACTTGTGGAATCAGCAAAAATTTTGATAAATTACAGTCTTTCTGCTGACTCAATTTCCTGGATCAATTTACAAGCAAACATAAGAAAGGAACTGGGAATATAAGATCAACAATGTGAGGGCATGAGGAGAGACGACTCCTGTTAAGATTGATTTAGGCTTTCACAGAATCATACCATACATCAGAGGAACGGATCAGAGATAAAGAAAATCCACATATGCATGTTGCATTTTCATAATTGAACCTCCATGAACCTCCAAGAGCAGGGAGACTTTTATGGCTGGTATACTACTCCAACAAATGAAAGCAACTGGTAAGAAACCTCTGGGAGATCAAAGGGGCTAAACGCAGAATGTGTACTCCATTCACAAAACAAATTAGCATCTGTACTCTCAAAGAAAGACTTGAAATTGGGAAGAGTCCTATATTAACAGCAGGCAATATGTGAAATACCAAAGCAGCTTTTATTTAGATTTCCAGAGTCAACTGTTAAAAAAAAAAGCACATGAGGATAAGTGGGTAGGTTAAGCGTAAGCAAAAGACACCAAAGCAAATTGTGCACAGCAGAAACCACACTTCCTTCATTGCCGGTAGGAACTGGTAAAAATATCACTGTAGAAACACCTACAGGTAAATATTTTTAAAACAATCCCCAGGCTACAGTAAGAAAAGAATATACAATTATAACAAAAACAGTGTTGTTTATCAGACCAATATTTATTGCTGAACAAAACCCAAGCACAGCCACTAGGGGTTCTGAATACACCACATGCCCTGAAGTTGTGGATCAGAAGCAGCAAACCTCAAACTACTATCAGTATGGAATTATAAATCAAATTATGAAAAATTGAGTACACATAACCAAGGATTAAATTTTTTTTTAAAACAAACGAAAACAAACAAACAAAAACCACAACAAAACATAAAGACTTGACTTTTCTGAAAATTATTTTAATGACCACCTCCAAAAAGGTTCAATTGTGTAAAAAAAACAAACCAAACAAACAACTAAACAAAAAAACTTGAATGGAAATATTTTTTCCACAACACTTTAAACATTCAGGTTCATTTTCAAGTTATACTCCACTTACTTAATTTCCTTCATATATTTACCTTGGCAGATCTTCGCTCATCAATAGGAAGAGATAATCCCTGAGTATACGGGTCTACTTCACCAGTAGTCAGATAATTTTTCTACATTAAAAAAAATTTAAAACCATTCAACATATTTTAAAATACCAACTCTTACTCAACTAAATAGTTTTTAGGAATTATATTGTTTGAAATTAATTTGAGCAATTTAGTGAAATAAAGACTGAAGACAACCTTAATGTTTTGAAAATGTAGAATGTTCTTGGAACACATGAATGAAGTGAAGAAATGCAGAAAGTAAATGTCTCTGTCAAGTTTTAAGCTTGAGTTTGAAAGCGTTTGTCACTTCTTCCCTGTTACACTATTTGAAATGTTACAGTTAGTCTCCATATATTTATAAAAAAAACACCTATTTTTATTCAAAGAAACTCCACTCAGTTCTTCTCTAGCATAAGCACAAGCATAAGAGGAATTTTCCAAGATGATACCTTATTTAAGATGAAAAATTGCTTTTTCTAAGTGCGGAAAACATATCTACCTCTTACTTTAACAGATGGAATCTATGTTAACAGTAGCATGGTCACATCTCTTTATCTCAACAGTGTCTTCTATACCAGCACTCCCCAAACTTTTCAGGATAATGACCCGTTACTAAATCTTGTAATTCCTTATGGACCACCAGTCACTTTCAGAACAGAAATTCCCATCGAAACCACTATGTTGCTGCTCCATGTAGATCCCTGGGTGACAGCTTGGAGGCACTCAAGAGCTCTGACTGTTCCAGTACAAAACCGCATCATTATGACTTGTATTTTACAACTACACATTAGAAGATTTAAGAAGTTTGCAAACATTCAAGCATCAAGACAACCAGCTTAATATGGAAAACCAACTTATTCCTACTAGAGAAAGTAAATACACCATAATCCTTGTTATTAAGTAATTATTTTCATGCATTCTGACGGCATCTCTAGAGATTATCTCTGATGTTAAAAACATATTTGCCAAAAATCAGAAGTTGATATGGAAACTGTATTTTTCTAGATAAGCAAGATTAAACAAGTTATTAATAAAAAAAATTATCACTGTGAGAGCTGCTAAAAGTTACATTATCTCTTTAGGTGGGCAAAAGAGATTAGAGATTGGAAAAGAAATCAAAGATTGTAATCCTGTCTCTTGCTCAGGCCTTACAAGCTTAATCCGGTTAACATGTACTACATTAAAACAAACAAACAAAACCTTATAAACCTAAATTTGTAAAACTGGAGTTCAGTTGAGAATAAAACATTAGAAGTTAATGTAAAATTTATATTATTTGTGTACTTTAATGATAATCATGAAACATTAATTTTTGAAACACAATATTATAACTTTGAAAATAATCTGGACTTTTAAGACTAAACCAGAAGCAACAATCACATAAGCATAATTTGGGTCAGAGGTTAAGAAGGCAGTTTATTCTGCTGTTGCTATTGTTTTTCACAAATGCTATTTCTGTTATTCAAAGCCCCATAAAAACCAGCAGGTTGTGTTTCTACCATGTTATCTCCTGGTACTTTACTGAAGTTGCTTGATCTGAACAACCTCGATGGCCTGTGTTAAATTTTAAAATGACAGTTATAACGATATAAATAATTAAAAATCAATTCACCAAGGCTTGCAAAAACAATACCAGAGGTTTTATTTTTTCCTCACAATACTTGTATTCTTGCATTCTGGCCACTAGGTGTTGAATAACTGGCTCTACTGCTTCCCTAAGCATGACTGATGATAGTGATAGGGAAGAAAAAAAATCCCTGACTGGTTTCAATGACACACTATAATATTTCAGAGGTTACTATTTAATTCCAGCTTTATAAAGTATGCATATCATGGAAAAAAAAAAAGATCTGAACTCACAACCTCTATGTAACTGAAAAGCCTGGAAGCAAATGTCTACTAAAATAAAAACTATTGTACAGTCAGCATTAGACAGCAACAATAGCAACTGCGAAGGGAAAAGGAAATCAACAAATGTTTTAAAATATTACTAATGGAAAATAATAAATACAATTAATCATTTTGCACAAAGCAAACAATGCTGTTAGTCACAACTAATAACTACAGCATGCACGAACACACAAAGCACCAAAAAAGAGTAATGATTTCTGAAATTCCAAGAGCACAAAGCCTTCAAACAAAGCAAAGCAAAAAGCAACTAATTGGAAAGAAAAAAAAAATTATATTGCAGGCACCCTACCTTTCTTTTTGCCTGTGAAATACCCTAAAAGTCAGGGAGAAGATACTATTCAAAAAGAGTCTTTCATTCAAAAATATATGACTTAACAAAAACTCTTTCCTTTCTTAAAGCAAATTCATTTTTTCATTTTAAGAACTAAAGACACTGATAAATAGCATTTTCATACAACAGAAATTATTTGGTTCCTTATTTTTTTCTGTCTCACAAAGGGGAGATATGGAATATTCCCAAGATGATGACATTTCATACATATAATTTCAATTTTAAATTGACTGTGACATTTAGTAAATCACGTTAAGCACAACATCAAAGTTTTTCCTTCCTAAAACTGAAAAGAAGCTGTCAAATGAAATCACACTAATTATAGAAATATTCTTACCCCAATTACAGACCACAGAATACATAAGTACTTCAGAAAGTAACAGATTATAAATTCTTAAGCAAAAAACTAAGGAAGAAGAAAAGACAAACAAATAAAGTATTCAGAATAAAGTGTACTAAGTAATATGTAGTCTCATGTCAATATATAACCCTTCCCAGAGGTAACATTTGGAAATTACTTTTATCCAAATCTTTGAAATGAGCCATTGCTCATAATGAATGCCTTCTTATAAAAATTTTTTATAGATATCACTAATTTTCATTCAATTAAATGAGAGAATCATTTTAAGAGACTCACTAAAATGAAGCAACCAGTCAAGCAACTTTACCTGAGAAAGATATCGCCTATAATCTTCTCGTAGCTCCTCTTTGAGTTTATGTTTTTTTCGTTCATATTCCTCTCCAAGAGGTAAACTCATCCCATAGTCACCTGAAAGTTTAACAACATTAAATATCATCTTTACTATTTTGTATCAATGCAAAGCACACCCTGCAAAAGCTACATCTGGATTTTGACACAACCAATAAAAAAAAATTAATTATGCAACCAGTAATTACAAAATAGCCAAAAAAACAGTAGTATGTATGAGTAGATGGATGGAAAGCACAAAAAAAAATTGGATTTTATTTTTTCTCTAGTCCTTGCGCTTTTTCTCCCCACTAGAAAAAAAAAAGAAAAAAGCAACATAAACTGAATTTATTTGAAGAGTATACAAATAGTGTAATATCATCTAAAGTTTATACATATTTCTTTGGTGAATGTATGTTTCGGAAGAAATCTCCTTTGACATGTTAGTTCCTAAATTAACCTGATATTTTATGCTGTGATTCTCACACAATAGAAAACATAATGCACAACTGAAAGCAACAAGCTATTTGTTTAGCACAAAGCATTTGAAAAATATGTTGGCTTCCATATAACTAGAATCCGACCACACAATAATTATAATCATTCTTCTTTCCCCCTCACTGTTTTTAATTGTAGCAGACCCAAAACACATTAGTACTTTTCTGAGATTATTATCTGGTCTCATAACAGCTGCTAAATTAAAAAAAATAACGCTATGCAAGCTGTTTGCCATTCCCAAAATACATCCTTAAGCACTTTGTAAGAAACACCCCCTGCCCTAGAAGGCCACCTCTGCAGCCGCTTTCGCCACTCTCCACAAAGAGCAAGTGAATTCCACAAACTCATCCAACAAGAGACAAAGATTACAACTGTTGGGTGGGGTTTTTTTATTATTTCATATTGTTTCTCTAAAAGCATTTCTACCTCTTGTGACCTATGGAAAATTAATAGCAAGGAGTAAGAGGGAAGAGAAGGATATTCAAGGTTTACTCTCACATCAGACCCAATTTATTGCACGGATTTGTTTGGCTGGGCTTGAGATACATTCTTACATAGCTGAATTTTACATGAATTATTTTTGAATTATTTTTGAATTAGTTATAGAAAACCAAGAAAAAGACCAAAAGTAACTAACAGGTCAGAGGAAAGAATCTTTCAGTAATTTCACAGATGCCAGTAAAATTCAGTACAAAACAAACAAAAAAAAAAAAAAAGAAAAGGAGTGACAATTAAGGAATCAAGTGCTTTGATTCAAATATGTGAAGTATTCAAACAAAAAAGTGTTTAAAGTTAATTTTTTTACAGAAGACCTTTTTTTGGCCACCAGAAAAGCATTGAGATAACAATCACTGGTAGTGATCTGAGGTATATTTGAAAATTACTCACTTCAAAGACTTATTCTAGGAGAGCCTAGCAGAGCAAAACTACTGCAGTTAACATACACTCATCTTAATTTTGTACACAACTTGTCTGAATTCTTCCATCAGAATAAGAGATATACTTTCTTTTTCAATGGCTTTCTGCTTTTGTTTTTTGTGTAATTGCTGTAGTTATCTGCCATTTCATATTCTGTTCATCATATATAAGGACACTGACAATTTAAAAAAAAAGGTTAATATTTGAAATGCATTTTTTACACAAACATTTGCATGCATTTAATGATGAGAAATAACTGTCACTTTATTCAGTCTGAATCTCAGCATTACTGCTAGAACTATAGAGTATACTTAGTAGCTACCAAGGAACAAGTTCCTGTCTGATTTAATCCACAGGCAATCCACATTGCTTCAAAGTAGAGCCAGCCAATAATATCAACAACAATCCACTTCACTATCCAAATTATTATTATAAAAAGTGCTGGTTTGGGCTAAGATAGAGTTCATTTTCTTCATAGTAGCTGGTGTGGTGCTGTGTTTTGGATTTGTGCTGAAAACTGTTGGTAAACACAGGAATGTTTTTGATATTGCTGAACAGTCCTCACACAGCATCAAGGCTTTACCTGCTTCTCATTCCACCCATCAGCAAGCAGGCTGGGGGTAAACAAATAGCTGGGAGAGGACACAGCTGGAAGAGCTCACTCCAGCTGACCATAGGGATATTCCACACTATATGGCCTCATGCTCAGCAATAACACTGTGGGGAGGTTGGTGGGGTCTGCTGCTCCAGCGTGGCAGGAGGCCCTGTCCCAGTACGGCCTAGAATCTGGTCAGAGAATGCAAGCCATGCAAGCTCTCTCTAGTGAGTTACTGATGGCACCGTGGTAATACTTTTGGTGTTGAATTCTGCCAAAACCAGCCTAGTTCACCCAACTCCAAACACACATCCTGCTTTTTGAAGTTGGATGTGACAGCTGGTAGCTGGCCTGTAAATTTCTGACTAGCAGTCCACCACTTAATACTATAAAAGTCCAGTCCCCTTTCATACAGTCAGGTTCTTCTAATATAACCCTTCTTGGGATGTGTGCATGGAGATTCCTCCCTTTCGCTGGGGACACCCCCCAAGGGTACTCCTCGAGGCTGATGGAAAGGGATCTCCCCACAAGCAATGGTATGGGTGAGTTACATCAGATCTCTACTTAATAATTATTTCCTTTTTTTGCTAGCTTTAATATAATTGCTTCAATAGTTACTTCAATATAGTGTACTGTCCTATCTTATCAGATTCCAGGCCTTATTGGGGTAGGCCCTCCTGCCACTTACTAAAACTATTAGTACTTTTAGCATATATATTGTGTAATAAATAATTCTGATTAAGATCTTTCGTCTGATTAATTATAATAGTAAATGATTCATTTTATATACTCTCAGTTTGCCATCATTAAAATCTGCAGCACAAAGGTGGTTCAATCACACTTCTATAATTCCTTAAATTTAAGCCATGACAAAATCTGAGGCTAAGATTGGATACTTCCTGCACCTCATGACTCAACAGCAGGGCTTCTTCAATAAATTTTGTCTAAGTCTTCCACCCACAACATCAAGAACTGGCTGGGCATCAGTCAGCTGCTGGTGAACAACTGTTTTCATTTGTATCACTTGTCTTTCTTGGGGTTTATTTCTTTCTCTTTGTCATTTTCCTTTTCATCACTTTTTTCTTTTCATTATTAAACTGCTTTTATTTTAATCCATGAGTTTTTTCACTTTGACTCTTCTGATTCTCTTCCCCAACCTCAGAGTGGCGAGTGGTTGTACGGTGTTTAGCTGCCAGCTGGGGTTAAACCATGACATGGCAATACCTACTTACTGGTTTTCATTTAAGACCACCTGAATGCCCCTCACCTGTAATACTGTGCTGGGTTATTATACTTAGATGTTAACAGTTAAGTCAAGTTTGTAATAGTAAACACAACATAGTATGTTATTATAGCTCTCCCATAGTGAAAAATTATTTTAATATTAAAGTAGCTTAACTGTTGGGTATTGGTCTGTCACTGTCAGGCAGTGGGATACTACCTACTGTGTTCTATTTTCTGTATCATATATTTCCACTGTTAAGCAAAGAATTATCAACACCAGGAATAACATGCTGATCCTAACAAAACTGCCAAAAATGTGTGATAGATACTTATTCAGGTGTTGTCCTCTAACCAAATTTATGACTTCTGGCAGCAAGGGATATTCAGTTATCATTTCAAGTATTTTTTGTGAAGTTTTCCTCTAAAAGTCTTTGAAGAGCTTGTCTTTCCGATGGCTGGAAATTCTATTTATATAACAACCTTATAAAAACCATGTTTTTATTTATGCAGCTAAGATCAGTTCAGACCCACAGATTCACAGGCTCAGGTTCCATCTCCCACTGGAAGCTGCAGAATTACAGCAGGATTACAGTTGGCACAGCACGAAAATTAATGAGGTACAAACCCAAAGCATCTACACTGAAAGAAAAGAGTTACCTATCAACAAGAAACAGAACACAAATAAGTTCTAAAGCTGCCAGAACAAACCTGAGCTATACAAGTGTAACTAAGGAAAAATAGTAGCACCTACAGAAAGGAGATAGACAAGTAAGGAAAGGTGGCACATTACAGAAACATTAAAATGGAGAAAAGAACACTATCACACACATTTCCAATCAGAAACCACAAAGAACACAGAGAAAAGAAGAAAAAGGACAATATATAACGAAACAGTTACTAATACTGATAGTCGCAGCAAAACAAACCATTTCCCTTAGTTAAGATTTCAACCAACACTAAGTGTTTGTTCTTTCTCTGTATAGTAAATGACTACATTGTAACACTGGACACCGTAACAAAATTACAGATTAATACAAATAGTTTTAACTATTTGTTAATAAGACAAAATTTAATAACTAAAGACAGACTTGCAAAGCTTTTTTCACTCAAATACAACAGGAAAAGACACATCACCTATTAAGGACTGGCAAGTAGATTTCTTTTTTTGTTTGGTTGGTTTGGATTTTTTTTAGTGGCACTACTTTTACAGGAAGAAAAATAAAGTGCTTGCCCTGTTCTCCTGATTAAAAAAAAAAAAGTGTAACTGCAAAAAAAATTCCATACATTCCCAAGATTTTTGGAAGACTGAAGGACTATTATGCACTTGAACTGAAATGATCATCTTATGATTAAAGATCCAAAGTAGTAATTCCCTAGTAAAAATTCCCAAAGGTAACTAAATGCTACTTAAATCTAAAAGACATATTAAAAACGTATACTATACCTAAAGGATAGTTCTGTTGACTATTCGGAGGTATATTTTCTTTTGCCATGGAAATTAGGATTTTCCTAGTCTCAGAAAGCTTCTCTGATTCCTTATTCTGAAAACAAAACAAAATGCTTTACTGCATTACAAGGTAAAGGAAATATCACATATAAGAACATTAGTAACTTAATTATTTGCACTGGAGAATAGAGAGATTGAAAGTAACGCTGGATTAACACATTAAAATTACTAATAGGAAAACTGTGATAAGAACAGATTTTGTTTAATTGTTACTTTCCTTTTATATTTCCTAGTTTCTGTAAGAGAAATGTTGAGGACATTTATACCTTCCACCCCAACACCTCAGCTCTGGAGTGAGCAGAGGGCAGATCCCTGCTAGTCACCTTCCCTAAGGAGGGGGGGAAGGAGCAATAATAGCCATTTACAGGAGTTTTCTCACTTGTAAAATACAAATCTTACTGTGTATGCCTGGTAGCATACAGATTTTTAAAAATCTGCACACATACAAAGTATTTAAGTTAGAAATTACTTAATCCTTAATATATAATTTAACAAAAAATCCAGTTATAAGAGCACAGTAAAAGTAAGCTTAGCAACACAAGCACTTAAATTCAGGAAAGCTTATTAACAGTCTTACCCTCATTTCCATGTAAGGTGGATCATTTTCAAGTTCTGCCTTATCTTGTGCAAACTTGGCCTTGTGTTCTTCAATAGATTTGTCTAAGTCGTCCGCCATCATTTCTGCAGTTACAGAAAAGATGTAGAACTTTAGAGATTGCCTTTACATTAGAACTTCAAAAATTTAAAGCTCAGTAATAGTTGCTTAAGAAAGTAGCTAAAAAATAATCAAATTTGTCCCTCAGAACTACAACCCTTAAGATGTTTGCTGAGTCAACAAAACACCTGACTCAGGAAACCCATCCATGGAGGATACTACTTGATGTTTCACCAGAGAGAAAATTCAAAGATTCCAGATTGTAAGATTGAAGGTACTTCTCTAATCTTTTTTTCTAACATGGTTGAAGTGTTTTGGGGTTAGTTTTTTTACCTGCAAGTCTACCAATGAGCCTTTGCTACACACTAGCGCAAGCTGACTGTTGGTGAACAATTAAATCAAAATTAGAAAATATACAAAAGTAAACAGGATAAAGGAATCATTAGACAAAAGAGTATGAAAAGTGCAGATTACATGCATAGTCCAAAATAAGGACCAAATCATACAGTCAGTTCTGTGTTTAACTTACTATCAAGAGACGTCTTAAAAATAATCAAGTTTACTAAAAACAAAACAAAGAAAAAACTCACAATACATGCATAGTATTTCTGGAATTGGAGCCAACAGTGTATCACTACCTCCTGTATCACTAAAATAGCAGAACCAATAAGAATAGCTACAATTCTGCAATAATCTGCCAATCATCTGTAAGAAAACATGTACTAAAGAACAGTTGATTAATTCTCTTAAATGAGTTGTGCACCTTGCCTATTTAACTGAAAGCCCTTCAGAGCAGAAAATTTAGCATCTTATTTGTGGAATTTATTGTACATTGCTGCACCTGGATAACCTCGTAATAAAAATTAGAGTCAATCAAATTCATGTCAATGAAACTGCACAGAAGTTAATTTCGAATATTCTTTGTTACACCAGTCTTACCAGAACTAAAAATACTGCAAAGCTGTAACCACGGAAAAAAGGAAAGACAAAACCAAAACCAATGACTGCATACAAGCCTACTCATCCTAATCTCCACTCAGTGTTTTCACCAACTCCACTGGAGGAGGAGTTTTGCAAAACCAAGCCTATTGATTAAAAAAACCAAAAAAAAACCACCCAAAAACCCCTCTAAGTTATATTCCATACTTACAAGAAGCATGAAACTGAGAAGAAAATTATGACCCTCAAATCACTCTAATGCTACCCACACAACTTAAGCAATCCTATTGCTTATGCAGGTTCCTGAATGATCCCATCACATCCAGTATCTAAACCAAGACTATCCAGCAGGTTTTTCAAGGTTAATTCAGTATCTTTCTAAAGCCTACAGATTGTAAGAAGTAAGCATTAGGCCAATGACAAAGGCATATTAGAAACAGTTTCAGGAAGAGGATCAAAGAACTTAAAAACAACAACAAAAAAACAAACCACCACTTCAAATATAATAAGGTAGCACACAGGTAAACATAAAAATAATGTGTCCAGAAAGACTGAGATAAATGCTTACTAGAAGTAAGATGAAAACAAAAAATGCCCAGATTCTATCAGATAAAGTCAAGTAATTGCATGATAACTTAATTTAATGAATACATTTGCTTGATGTATTCCTCAGAATTTACTCCTTTAAACTTTTATAATATAAAATTACAATATCATTACAAAGGAGGCAGAACTAGGACAACCTATTTACAATTCCTAGTGGTAATACAGGACAATCAATTCCAAAAATAAATACCCCTGTCTGATTTGTCCTAAATCTTTAATCTCATTAGTTTTGCACACTGATAAGGGATAAGTTTAAAAGAGGATAAGTTTCCAGGCACTGGTAAATTTTATTCAGCCTACTAGGTTACATAAGAATAATGAAAAAAGGCTGAAGCAACTTGTCATATATAAAAAATGTGAAAGTTGGTCTCAACCCCCATCCAGTACTGCACAGTCATCAAGAGGAAAATTACCGCATGTAGGAGGCACTGTGAGAAGTCTTTTCAAAAGCTTGCTGACTGTAACATCTGTATTTCTTGTATCTATTTACAATCACATTTATAAACTCTAGAACTGTACAAACTTATTCCGAGAGACAGCATAAGGAAAGGAGTATTTGCAGTATATTTTGTATCTAGCACAAGGAACACCAAGAATATTCCAGCCTTCTGCACTCCTATCACGTTGCTCAAAAGAGCAATATAATAAATTAAAAACCAAAGACAAAACAGTTACAGTTGAACTACATAGGCAATTTAATTGGTGTGAAGAAAGCTGGCAATTCCAGGCCTTGGAGAATAACAAGATGACTAGTGCTACAGCACAGTTGATTCAGCATACCTTTAATACAGCTAAATAGCCTGGAAAAGTAGACAAATCCTTCTTAGAATTATCTAGATGTTTTGTGTCTTAACATCCTTCTGCTTGAGTTGATCTTCTTAAAAGATGCACAAGTGCAAACTTTATGAGATAGGCAAAACAAGTATATTATACTAAAAAAGAAAAAAAAATGTTATTATTCTAAGCAAAAAGATGACAATTTGAATGTGATGCATACACGGCGAAGTTTCAAAAATATACCAGCATTTAAATGAATGTCCCACTTAATATGAATCAACTTTATCATTACTGTATCATGTGAAGAGATCATGACTAATCACAATCAAAAGATCGAAACAACATATTTCTATCTGAGAAGAGGGCTACCACAGCCCCCATGTGTGCAGTGAATTATCTCAGAGGTGACAACACTAAACTCACAGTGAACTGTCAACTTCAAACTGGCTTCACACGACTGCACAAACACACCAGGGAAAAGCCTGACACTGTAACATCACTTCAAACCAAAACTAAATACCTCATTTTCAGGTTAACAATGCATTTGAATGCCTTTTGTGCATTTCTAGCCCCTTGCAACTGCTAGTAAAAGTAGCAGATTCAAAACCAAGCTTTGAGACATCGCTCCATGAGCATCTGCCTAGTGCAAAAGGGCAAGTCAGAATATGCTGTAAACACTTGAAAACCCAAGGATAAACCATATGTTCCCAAAATTATGAGGTGTAAACATCATATTTTTCATGCTTTTTGGAAAACACAGTATTCTGTAAACACTATTTCTAAAAAAATGTTTAATAGTACAAATCTATCAGCTTTCCTTTAGCTCTTGCAACTTTAAATCTTGGATTATTTGCATTCCCAAAACATGGCATTATTCGAAGGGCAATTGCATTAAACACACTGCTGCTATACATTCAACTACTGTATGAAAATGTTCCATAAAAATATTTTTCTGTATTATTTTGTTCAGGAACGTTTTAGATTTAGATTTTCATAACCTTTTTTCCTTTCCAACTGAAAGTTTTCACAAAAGTAACTCAATATCAGAGTCAGCTAAACAGACTTCAACTTAAGCAAATATAAAAAGCATATATTCAAGAACAGTAAGTCAGGTTTGAACATGGCATTTTTATTGGATCTATGCCCAGAGTTAATAATGCATGTCTAAGTATTCAAGGTATCCAAAACACCTATGTGCATATTCATCTTATGGAGTATATTTAGCTATGTATTGTGTAGCTACTTTATCACCTAGAGCAATGTTTATTGCATTCCTTTTTAATATTTCCCTTTTCCTCCTATTTGTTCAGGAAAATGAGGTACAAAATTTAAAATCAGCACGTGCAAGCAGATTTCGTCTTTTCCGTGCTACGCAATATTAAAATAACATCAGGAACACTGGCAAAATGGCAATTCCCATCCATATGAACTGCAGCATGGCTGGCAAGGAGGAAAATGCTTTGAAAAACCTTTGAAAAAGCAAATGCTTTGAAATATGCCACGTTTAGTAACTGCACCTGCACGTTATACGGTCACCAATTGTGTCATTAAGAAACATTTTTCAAAGTTTCACCCAAATCTCCGAAGGTCTCACAGCAGCCACTACTGGCTGCTTCTCTATCCCTGTGAATGGCACTTAAAATAAGCTCCTGCTGCCAGAGACGTGCTTCCTGTACCTTTCACTGCCGTTTCTTTCAAATTATTGGCTGAAAAAGCACAAAAGAGTCCAGGGTCTGGACGCTCACAAATAATAAACTTTGACTGAAGCACCACGACTTTTTGGCAACTAAGAAGGCAATCTACCCTCTCAACAACCAACCAACAAGTTTCATGAGTTACTTTCCCTCCACGGTAGGGCTTATGTGTCTTCCCAGAGAGCAGAGCACGTATTCTGGATCCAAAAAGACACCAATTTCGGCAAACTTTCAGACTCAGGCGATCAGGTTTATTCCTCCAAGCGCGACAGCTCGGGGAAGCGCCTCTCCCCGGCCTGCAGCGCCCGCCTCCCCGTCTCCCTCCCTCCTCGGCAGCATCTCTCGGGCACTCCCGGAGGCACCGACCCCCCGGGGCCGGGGCGGGGATGCGGCACCCGGGGCTCGGCCCCTTTTCCGGACCGCGGCGCCGTTGTCAGGCAACGGCCGCACAACAAGCGGCCCCACCGGAGGGACGAGCCGAGCCGAGCCGAGCCGAGCCGAGCCAGGCCAGGCCGGGTCGAACCTCGCCACCCCCGCAGGGACCCCCAGACCCGGCACCGCGCCCCGGGTGCACCCCCGCCCCGTCCCGCCCCGGAGCCCGTCCCGCTGCCCGTCGAACCCCCCTCGGCCCCGCCGCCGCCCAGGCTCGGTGCGGCCGCTGCGAACCGCCCGGCGGGGCCGCGGGGAAAGGTCCCCGGGAGCCGCCCCGACCCCTCCGCCCGCTCACCGGTGCCGGCGGCCGCCACTCCGTCCGCGCCCCTCGGTTACCGCCGCCCCGGAACCCGGCGGGCGGCGCCGCGCAGCGCCCCCCCTGCCCCGGAGGGCGGCGCGACCCGGGCGCCACCGCCTCCTCCCCCGGGCGGGAAAGGGAGCGCAGCGGGAGGCGGCGGGCGGGCTTCACAGCATCACGGAATGGCCCGGGTTGGAAAGGACCACAGGGGGTCATCTGGTCCAACTTCCCCGCTCAAGCAGGGTCGTCCTGGAGCACAGGGCACAGGATCGCGTCCAAGCGGTTCTTGAATATCTCCAGTGAGGGAGACTCCACAACCTTTCGGGGCAATTTGTTCCAGTGTGCGGTCACTCACACGGTAAAGAAGTTCTTTCTCGTATTCGGGTGGAACCTTCTGTGCATCAATTTCTGCCTGTCGCCTCTTATCCTATGGCCGGCACCACCGAGAAGAGCCTGACTCCATCCTCTTGACACCGTCCCCTTAGATATTTATACACAATGATAAGGTCCGCTCTCAGTCGTCTCTTCTCGAGGCTGAACACGCTCAGCTCCTTCAGCTGTTCCTTGTAAGAGAGATGCTCCAATCCCGTCATCACTTTTGTTGCCCTCCGCTGGACCCGCTCCAGGAGGTCCGTGTCCCTCTTGTCCTGAGGAGCCCGGAACAGGACACAGTAAGTTAAAAAGTGGGGAAAAAACAAACCATAATAATAATAGTGACAATACCAAAGGAGCCTTGGCGGGCGGCTCCCCGTGAGGCGCCGCCGATGCCGGGGTGGTTCCCGCGGTGCCGCATCCCGGAGCGCTCGGGGCTCCCACCCGGCTGCAGAGCCGCGCACGGCCGCTGGGGGCGCAGCGCCGCCAGCCCCGGGCCTGCGCGGACCGTACCACCACTAACCGCACCCCCAGCTCCCCCGCCCCGCGGTTGGTTCCGCCGGCGGCCCGGAGCGGCGGTGCGGGCCGGGAACGGGAGCGGGGCCGGGAGCGGGGCCTGGGCCGGGAGCGGGGCCGGGAGCGGGAGGATGGCGGGGAGCGGCGCCTCCGGGAGCGGGATGGCGCAGAAGACGTGGGAGCTGGCCAACAACATGCAGGAGGCGCAGAGCATCGACGAGATCTACAAGTACGACCGCAAGCAGCAGCAGGAGATCCTGGCGGCCAAGCCCTGGACCAAGGAGTGAGTGGGAGCGGGGCCGGCGGGGCGGGCGGGACGGACCGCGCTGCGCTGCGAGGATCCCGATCTGACGGCTCTGCCTTCCCCCCGCGGCCTCTGTGCCGCCGCAGCCACCATTACTTCAAGTACTGCAAGATCTCGGCGCTGGCGCTGCTGAAGATGGTGATGCACGCCAGGTCCGGCGGCAACCTGGAGGTGATGGGGCTGATGCTGGGCAAGGTGGACGGGGAGACCATGATCATCATGGACAGCTTCGCCCTGCCCGTGGAGGGCACCGAGACCCGCGTCAACGCGCAGGCCGCCGCCTACGAGTACATGGCCGCGTACATCGAGAACGCCAAGCAGGTGAGCAGGGGGGGCACGGGGTGTTTCTGCCTCTCCACGGAGATCCTGTGGGTCTTGTGAGCTACAGGAACATATTCGGGGGCTCGCGGGCTTCCCGCTCATACCAGTGCCTCCCCGATTGTCCTGTTTCTCCTCAAACATGACAGTGGGAACTGTGTCAGCAGCAGGGAATGCAGGGCCCTTGTAAACATTTTCACATAAGTATTTCCATGTCTTACAGTAGGTCATCAAAAGTTGGACTCGATGGTCTTGTAGGTCTTTTCCAACTTTAATGATTCTATAATAAGTACTGTATTCTTTCCTTTGTAAATTATTTTCATTGCTGAGGAGGTGTTTTTGTGGCTGAAGCTGGTGGCTTGTAGATGGTACAAGGGGGACCGTGTTCCTAAAATAACTGATACGTGTTTCTAAAAACAATATGCAAAATTAAATATAAAATATGTGCGCATCAGATATATTTGTAGATCAGGAATATGGCCTTTAGTCGTACCTTCTTCTGAAGCCTTACTGCATAGTCATGCTGCTCTTTTCCATAAAGAGAACACATTCAGGAATAAATTGCTAGTGAAGGAATAAGTAATTTTCAGTGCAACTTAATTATTCATTTGGAAATTTAGCTGAACAGACTCAAATGTCTGTTTCCCATCTTTGTCACTGTGTCTTCAGAGATCCATTAAACCTGACTCATTAAACCAGTAGAGTTCTCATGAGCAGAAGGGTAACAGAAATCTGACTCTGCTCTGTTGGTGGTGTAGAAACCAGCACAGCACATCAGAACACCTGCTGATGCACTTCTTCCAGTACAGGGCAATCCTATACTACAAATAAGAGCTGAAATAACTTTAACTCTCCAAGCTCAAATAATTTGACACTTCGATTTTTAGACCAGCTAAAATTAGAAACCCCTTACTTACTATGTGGATATACTAGAGGAGTATTTCGGTTATTGTGGAGTGTTTTATTTATCTTCACAGCCTTACATACAGGTAGAGATATTGAAATAGATGTGCATTAGGCTGAATCATAACATCAGCAAATAAACATAATCCAGAAGTAGTAATGTTCCTTTTTAAATAATTTAACCCTATCAATGAGAAACTTTAGAAATAATGTATTTAATCCAGTTTGTTTTACCTGGAAAGCTGTTAATGTCATGATGCTAGTACTGTTGTTGCCAGAAAGTAGGTAGCTGGGAGAGATGTCTTTGCCTAAAGATATATTCATACTATCTTTAGATAGAGATATATCCATACTATCCTACTCTTAGGTAGAAATACTGAGTTTCAAAACTGTAAGTATAATAGCATAATAAGTATAATAGCATAAAATTAGAGGGTTTATATTCAGTGAGTTCAGCTTGTGTTTAAAACAGTCCAGGTTTCTGTAGGAGTTCTTATATCATAGGAAATGGTTTTTCCTGTTGTTTATGTTGTACACTTTTGTCTATAGTTTCACAATTTTGAAATTGAACTCATGTGCAAATATAATAACTCAGCCTTCCTGGTGCTCTGGCAGGGTTTACATGCATGTTCCATATTTGATTTTGGCAAGCACTTGTTCCTGGAATAACTCATTTTAATATTAAGTTGCTAGTTGATATATTCCCCATGCATAAGTGCTTTATAGAGGCCAGTATTCCAGTTATTTGTTTCTCCATGGGCAGGATCTGGTATAAATACAGTTAAAATGTATTATTTGGCTTTGAAAAATAACACACATTCTTCAGTGCTTTGTTGGCCTCTTTTATGGGAGTTGCAAAGGAAATATAAACATTATTTACCAGTAAAAAATAAAATGTTCCATTCAGTAAGCAAGTCTGTGTGTTCTGTCTCATCTCTAAATTTTTCTGATTGAACCTTCCTGACATTGGGCAAAAGCAAACAAGCACTGTGTCCAAACACATCTTAACTCTCAGGAAAGAACTGGCATGTAAGGTTGGACCAAAATTATCCTACTCAGTGTGGAACAGCCAGTAAGCAATTCCTCAGAGAAGATTAGAAAAATCAGGTTCGATGCGTGTTTATTCTGCTGGCTTTTTTTGGCTTTGTTCCTTTTCTTCCAGTATTCTTAGAGATTTCCAGGGGTATTGTTTGGAAACTCCTGGTTTGAGTTTTTATCTGATAAAAATGTGTAAAAAATCACCTTTTGGCTTTTAGAGCTGGCTCTGGGCAATAATTTCTGTCATTTCTGGTGTTTGAAAAGACGCCTTTCAAGTTAATTTTTAAACCTACTGCTGACCTAATAGTATATGCCTCTGAGACGTGTTACTGTACTAAACAATTCATTCTCTGCTGATCTTCCATGCATTATATGAGATTATATATACTTGTGTCATAACCACCCTAAAAAGTTCCTCGTGGCTGCTGAGGAGTCCCAGCTCACCTCCTGCCTCACTGTGTGGAACCTCTTCTGTACTTCAGCTGACACTGAAGTTCAGCTCCTGACTCCGTGAAGGTCCTTGTTCCGTGGCAGCAGCTGTAGCCGAGAATGCCAGTACTACACGCTGCGCGGTTTCTAGGGAATAGTTGAGCAGCGTAAGAAATTCCTGTTTATCCTCCCGCGGCGTTGCAGTGTGCTGGAAGGGCCGCTGGAGGGCAGCCGGTACTTTGGGAACGGAGATGAACTCGGCCCTTTCTCTTGCTCGTTCCTAGGTCGGCCGCCTGGAAAATGCCATCGGCTGGTATCACAGTCACCCTGGCTACGGCTGCTGGCTCTCGGGGATCGACGTCAGCACCCAAATGCTTAACCAGCAATTTCAAGAACCCTTCGTAGCAGTGGTTGTAAGTACTGGCTGATGAGTGATTAAATGGCATAGCAAATCATGTCATAGGGGGAATAATTTTTAGATTTCCATCTGTTAACGTTCTAGCAGTGTGTATTTTGCATGATGGAGGTGTTAGATCCACTTTTTAAATTGGTGCCACACCTTTCGCTTTGCTGGCCGCATTCTGGCCAAACCAAGCGCTGTTTGCCAAGACCATTTTCACGGCATTGTTCCAGCTGTGATGACTTTGTACAAATCCATACATAACTCTTAACTTAAAGTTCTGCTTGGTACTTTTCCAAAAGAATGAATTGAGTAATCCATATTTAACGTCCTGCGACAGAACAAAAAAAATCTGTTTCTTTTCTTCTCTTCCTTGTGCTGAAATACAGCAAAGCACATTCACGAAGTTATGTTATTTTGCACCTAAAATGCCTTTTAGATTAAGCCAGTGGCATAGTACAGGGTAGAAGACACTAGGAAACCTATCTTTGAAGCAGAAACCTGAAAAAAATCCTTGAGATCTTCATGTTCTTCCAGGCTTCAGATACATTTGAAATCAAAAGGAAACCTTATTTTAGATACTATTTGTATAACCATTGCTACTGAAGGAAATAAAGGAAAAAATACTGAAATTAGTCGTAAAGAAGGAATATAACTGATGGAAGAATTACATAACAAAAAGATAAATGACCCTTAAGAAGTATTTTCACCATGTGAGTTTTCCTGTATGACGTAATTTCACAGATTCAGAACACTTTTCTAGGGACTGCCTTTTTTTTTTTTCCTTCTTCTTCTTTTAATTACTTTTGAAATTAAACAGGGCATTAGTATGTATGTTAGCAAGGAGATTTCTTTATTAGCTTC